GGTAAACCAAAATTAGGACTCCCAAAGGAGAAAACAGAGAGAAAGGTTCTGGATGCATCAGCTACGTACTCTTGAACCTGATGGACTTAATGAGAGAGATGAAACACAGTTCTACCCAAAACCAAAGGAATAAATCCTGAACTTCATTCTATTTAACTAAAACAACTATTTGTTTTGATTTAAGAATTGCTATGTACAATAAGCGGCAAAAATATTTTTCTAGACAATTTACAAACATATATTTTTTATAGAACATCAATAAATTTTGTTAAACTTTTACTCAAATTTTGTGTAGTTCAAGCTAACAATAAGCGGCAAAAATATTTTTCTAGACAATTTACAAACATATATTTTTTATAGAACATCAATTAATTTTGTTAAACTTTTACTAAAATTTTGTGTAGTTCAAGCTACAAAAATATTTTTTTGTCATGCATCCGATTTCACCTTGAGAGATGCACACGCCTGATGAAGCTAATTTGTTTAGCGAAATATTGCGTGAATAATATAAAATATAACAACTAATTTTATAACACTCATTAGTGTGTTAAAGTTACATTCTTAGGCACTTATATATATATATATATATATATATATAAAACGTCTGAATAATAGTCAACGATTTTTCCCACGAGGGCGCTGGATCGTTACGAGTAACGATACACGTACACAATAAATAAATTATATAAACGCCTAAAAAGTGTACACAACAACACCAATAACAAAAAAAGGAACTATAAATGTAATTATTTATAAATATTTCGGATAACAGATATCCTGCATCAGTAAATATGATTGTGATGTTGAATGAATCATATATCAGTCTACTTAGATTAAACTATACAAATCTTGAAATTTATACAATAAAAATGTCAAACCGAACATCAGGTAAGACGCTTGCACAATTCTAAATATGTGTTAAACACGACATAGGTTATATGACTAATTACAACAGAGAGTTCAAATATATGCTTTAAATAAAAATAATAATGTGCGATATGAACTAGCACAATTCTAAAGCTTTAACGGTGACGACAGTTATGATGTTACAAGAACGATTGCGTCAATAAGAATTCCAAATAAACAGCACTGAACGATCTAAATTTGTAAATATTTCAAATTTGACAACGGTAGAGTAGTCGCAACAGAGTCTGTGTATTTAAACATCGCAAACAAACGGCCGTTAAAATATAATAATAAATTTTGACTAAGGTTAACTAGTTGAACGTGGCTTGGTACTTTTACATCCCTCAAAAAATTAAGCAATTTAAATTGTATATTCAACAGATTTATTTTAGAGATGAGTAAGGTAAAGAAATAGAAACAGAGACTGTAATAAAAAGTAATACAACCCAAATGTGAAGGACTGCATGGAGTCGAACTACATCTTTTCATTTATCCCATTTGGTGCCAAAGTTGTTAATTTTCTTATCCAAAATCTTTCCCGAGTGAGTCTATCCTCCCTAGACCAAGCAGAGTTGTGGTCAATGATTGTAATGGTCAGTCGATTGAGATCTGCCTTAGTGTGGCCAGGGGATCTCAAATGTCGACTGAGAGGGAGGTCTGGCTTGCATTGGTAGTCGCTACGATGACCGTTCATTCGTTTGTGAAACGGCTGTTCTGACTCGCCAACATACTGTTTACCACATTTACACTGTAGGAGATACACAACATTTGTAGTCTTGCAATTAACATTGCAAAATATGGTGTATTCTGTACCAGTGGAGTGACTGTTAAAAGTCTGGGTAACCAGTATTTGTTTGCAAGTCAGACATCGTTTGTTTCCGCAACCTTTGCAAGAGCCCACAGACGAAGAGCCTGCTTGAGAGGATAAATCAGCTCTCACCAGCAAGTCTTTAACGCAATCGTTCTTGTAACATCATAACTGTCGTCACCTTTAAAGCTTTAGAATTGTGCTAGTTCATATCGCACATTATTATTTTTATTTAAAGCATATATTTGAACTCTCTGTTGTAATTAGTCATATAACCTATGTCGTGTTTAACACATATTTAGAATTGTGCAAGCGTCTTACCTGATGTTCGGTTTGACATTTTTATTGTATAAATTTCAAGATTTGTATAGTTTAATCTAAGTAGACTGATATATGATTCATTCAACATCACAATCATATTTACTGATGAAGGATATCTGTTATCCGAAATATTTATAAATAATTACATTTATAGTTCCTTTTTTTGTTATTGGTGTTGTTGTGTACACTTTTTAGGCGTTTATATATATATATATATATATAAACAAGTCTAAATTGAAAACAATATAAATATATATATATAATTATTTAATAAAAACTATAACACAATTTTTCATACGTTTCGGCCATTACGGCCATCTTCATTGGAATAAATTACAACATTGAAACAACAATTACATCGCTTGGATACATTACATTTACTACAATGACGTTCATTTGCCGCTTTTATCCCTTTTTGGGTTACAATGAATATTTTTACTATCGTTCATACATAATGTTGAGTCCTTCAGGTTCTAACGTTTTTAATTGTTTTATCCAGAAGGCTTCTTAAGTTTTACGGTAAATTTCTATGCCAAATACTCTTTCTATTGCAGTAACTTTTAGATTTTTTATCGAATGGTTATGTTGAATAAAGGGGTTTGCTACGGGATCATCTGTTTTGTTTGTTCTTATTTTTGAAAAGTTTAATAACATCCTTTGATACAGTGTACCGCCTGTTTGTCCTACATAAGTAAGTTTTTCGCATTTTGTACAATTAATTGCAAACACTACGCCCACAGTTTTTGTCTATTTGTCCCTGATTATTATATTCTTTTCCGGTGTAATCACAGAATACTTTGGTTTCATTAATGTTTGAACATAATGCGCATTTTTTCCCGCATGGTCCACAGCCATTACTCTGTTTATAAAATAATAAATTATGCTTCTTGTGCACTAAAATGTCTTTTATATCGTTGTCGCTTTTGAACGCTACGATAGGCGGATCGGGTAATATTTTCTTTGGTCTTTTAGATTGGTGTAGAATTTTTAGATGTTTTCTGAGAATTGAATGTATATTTGGAAGCGCTTTGGAATAAGTAAATACTAAAGGTACTCTGTTGTTTTCTTTCTTTGTTTTGTACACTATATAAATATTTATACGGTTATGATGCACATCGTATAGAATGATAACTGATGTATCTATAAAATGAGATACAACACATGCAAATTTAAAGTTGACTCCTGTCCGTCAATTTAGAAAGAAGACCATTAAATTACACTTATGTTGGAACTTAAAATCATAACACAAAATTCACAAAAAATTATGAAAGACAATGAAAATTCTATTTCGATAACAAGAAACATATAATATCTTATCTTTTGATTTTAATCCAAAATTAATAAGATCAATACAAGCACTATATCCTTCAATCATGTCAGGATATGATTATTTGATCACACTGAATACACGCACGATTTTTCTAAACGAGCAAAATATGTAGGTAGACTGTATAAGGATTAAAAAGTAAAGGTCAAATCCGGACAAAAACTACGTAACTACCGATTTAGAAGATTTACATTTATATATGTTTGTAAAAAAGTTTGTAATTAACTAACAATTATAAAGTAAAACTTATCTTTTAGACACCCTGTTCTTCATAAAGGCAACAGTAGTATACTGCTGTTCAAAAGTCATTAATCGATTGAGATAAACAAATCCGGGTTACAAACTAAAACCTACGGAAACACAACAACTATAAGAGGAAAACAACGGAACAACAGAAACTCTGAAGTGTAACAAAAACAAACGCCAACATACATAGAAACGAACTATTTGATAACAACTGCCATATTCCTGACTTGGTTAAGGACATTTTAAGAAAAAATGGTTGGTTGAACCTGGTTTTATGACTAGCCAAACCCCCGCTTATATTGCAATGTTACAAATACCGCTAAAATGACAACATTACGTGACATGACTACATTAGATCTAAACGGAAGAACACTTAGGACAGAGACATACATAGATAAAAAATATAATAGTACATAACAACATGTAAACCACAGAATAACAACGGACACCTCTCATTTACACCACAATAGAATTATGATCTGTGAGTCACACGAATGTATCAACGCCACAACAAGTGACGTCACAGGTAAATCTCTAGAAATAGAATGTTAGATTGGGATTCAGTTTGTAATTGTGTGTTATTTTATGTATTTTCTAACCATTACAAGAATATTAATATAGAATTGTGTTAGTAATGGTGTAAGTATATGTATTTTCTAACCATGTCGGTTTTTCTTCTAAATCAAAACTGTAAAAACAAATTAATCCTGTGCATATAGTAGCTTTAAACTAAAAATCATATAAATGCACATCTTAAAATTTCTTAACATCAAACCCCTAACATATGAATATCAAAAGGCATCAAGGATAACAAAGATACCATTTGAAATATCAAAACATTTAGAACAATATAAACAAAATGAAATAAAAATACTACAATTTTTCCTTTATGGTCATATAGCTCTTTGTATCTTCAGGCCTTATAATCCTTGCCTTTCAACTGTTTGGTTTCAAGCGTGTCGGATGAAGGTGAATACAGATAGCGCTATGGACGTATGAGATTTATGATACTCTTTTATATACAGGGGTTGCAATGCCGTCATATTCCATTACAAAAACGATATTTTTTGTCTGGCCTTTGTTAGTCTTGTATTTTTTTAAATTTTAGTTCATTTATATGTTTTGGAGTTTAGTGTGACGTCCATTCTCACTGAACTAGTACACATTTTTGTTTAGGGGCCATTCCGCCTCCGGGTGCGGGATTTTAGGGCTGTGTTGAAGAACTATTGGTTGCCTTCGGCTGTTTTCTGCTCTTTAGTCGGGTTGTTGTCTCTTTGAAACATTCCCCATTTCCATTCTCAATTTATTTGGCTTGTTATATAAATCATGCAAAAATAGAAGTTGTCAAGAAGTTGATAATTAAATTAAACACAACAAATTTTAAATGCGCATAAAACGAAAGATATTTTCTCCTTTATTAACATTAAAAGCAAATGTATTAAGAATAATGACTAATCCAATAATTTAAGTGATAAAAAAGCAACTGATGCAAGAGTTCTTGTTATGAAAGATTGTCTGATCTAAGAGGTCAAATTAATCTACTCAACGCACCAGAAAAAGATTAATAATCCATTCGTTGGCTTTGTTAGTTCTTAATAATTTTTTTTGACACTCGTTCAAAGAGTTTGGATATTCGCATTCATTGATTAGATATTCTATAAATATTTAACAACAAAAGAAGTAATCTCATACCACATTACATTCTTAAACATTAAAACGTTTTAGTTTTGAATTTAACCTTCCTCTTTAGAAGTCTTAGTTTGCCCTGTGGCATCTAGACTTCCTCTTAACGTACTCAATTTAACTGAAGCAACGGAAATACACTGTCTACACATTTTGGTACTGCAGATCAATTCTACGATGAAAGAAAGAACAGCAATACCGACAACACCAAAGTATACATAGAAAAGACCAAATAAACTATCTAATCCAAGTGACTGGGCAGATCCAGACCTATCTGTACTAGTACAGCTGTCAGATTCAGATTTAGGCCACCACTTTTCTCGCCATTTTTCTATCAATCCGGCTTCGGTCATCTTCATGATTCTGAAAAAAAACATTCAGATTTAGTTCAACTGTATATCGGTAATAATTTGGTAGTTAATGTTTATAAACATTACTTTTATGTTTGAGTTAATTACTTGAATGGGATATTGTATTGAGAGCAAAAGTACAAACAGTTGGAACATACCAGTTTTATTTTCTTTACTACATCCCATAAACAAGGATCGAAAATTTGTTTATCTACATATAATCTGTTCTGATTATGGCGATTAATTGCAAAATATATATCTATGATACGATTTCATTTCAGAAATTAATTCTTTATTTTACTTATTGTACACGAACTTATTAACCAGTAGTATGAGATACTTAATCAAAGTTAATCGGGCATGACTAATCAGACACGTCCCCTTAGTTTTATTTTATAGATAAATACATGGATTGGTTGATTGATTAATGTCCATTCGCAATGTATCATTCATATCGAGAACCAAAAACGTTTACAATAAACACCATTGGTATGGCGACCAAAATTGATAGGTTGGTTCTTGCTGAACGTCCAGCGGTAACGGCACAACCATACGTAAACCAACTTTAACAAGGCTTAAGTGGCGGACGGGAGTAGTCAAGGGATGACAATATTTATATACCCTAGCAAATCATTCGACATTATTTACTACCAAAAATATGGCGACTTACATCAACACATTCTGTGTTACTGTAAAATTGTACTTCCCCTTTTCGTCTCATCATTGGATATTCTCAAGAACGTTATGCTCTGAGTCTCTTTGATAAAAAGTTGTTTAACAACTTAATTGTTTGAATATATGTATTTACCGTTTTCGTATAGTCTGTCTTTATAAATCTATTTACTGATTATCGTTAGATTAAAAACGGCAAATATATACACAATAAGGTTCTTTTGCAGAACATTCATTGGTCAGTTGTGAAAATGGTTCGATGTGAAAAAAAGTTTAATTGGTACATATTGCTACAGTCCGTTTTCGATCCAGTTAAGTTAAGTTACATTTTTTTGTTTATATCAGTCTGAGTACTGTTTATCAATCTTACCAGTTGAATCCGACTTGGACTCGTCCATTGTAGGAAAAAGACTTATGCAGGTGTATTTTACTATATTTTTCATATTTTTGTGACAGTTTGTAAGTCAGGAAAAGTTTATTGATATTGACATTGAAAGACCTCTTTAAAAATGATACTGTTCAAATTGCCTCATCCTTCGGCTCGTGATTCAAAGCATCCCTTTTCGTTCAGAGGTAAGTACATATTAACTTATCATATAACTTTTCAAATACGAATTGTAAGCGATTTGAAAAACGGCCATGTGATGGAAATATGTCTATTTTCGGTTAAAACGGGTATTTAAGGTAAACAAATCAGACAAAAATAGAAGAATTAACTTTTGGAATCTTAAGAACTTCAAACTGAAAAGGCCGAATAAGCATATACTGCCTTGGGAGAATTAACAGGGAAATGAAACAGTAGTCACTTATAGTGGTAAGTTGCAAAGGCTGTTATCTTTTTTTTTCAATGCGATGATCATGAAGTAAACTGTTTCATGTTATATTGTAACGAATGCAATAGGTATTTACATGACATAGTTAGTTGTACTACTTACGCTATGTTAAAAGCATTTAAATAATCAGAATGTTCTGGAAGAACAAATCCTAACCCAGCCTTGTTGAATGTTTCATCTGCAACGGCGTATGTTTTACAATCTTGGAGCATGATAAATTCCAGAACGGAGTTGTCTAATAATAATGCATACTCGTTTGTTCTCACATAGCTTAATATGGTTTCTAAATGATTAGCTTTCGGCATTTCTTCCATTTTGGACCATATTTGTCTGTAAACTGACGTTTTTGCTGTCTACAAATAGTAACAAAAGTACTAGTATGCCTTGTATATGGTAGCAAGTGAACTACCCTAGTTCTAATTGTTGATGAATATGTCTGCGCAAAATATTCAATATAAAGTTATGTTTTACAAAAATATTAAAGAAACTTTAATTTATATCAAAATTAACTTTTTAAACTGAATATGTGATATTTTGGCATGTGTTGCCAATATATATCATAATATTATACTTTCTCATGATATTGTGGTCAATTGAAAAATGCTACAAATTTGTATTTCGTGTTACCCGGTCTCGCTCCCTTGGAGATTCATTCGATTCCTACAGGTTTTTGTTTGATACCTTGATTTATGTCGTCATAATCGGTTAATGAGATTTTAACGTCCTTAAACAACTGTTGCCCTTATTTACCACGTCTGTATAGACCTTATCGCTACTTGGAAATCTGCGCCGCTTGACCCGAGAATCTGCGCCTCTTTAACTATGGACGTCATGCAACAATAAATTTTCCATTGTGGTGTCAGTTATTTCCTTTTTTGACGCAAAATTTTACGGGAACATTTGTGATGTCTAGTAATGGCGGACAAATAGCGATAAGGTGTATAATAGATGTCTTTTGATTTGTGAATAGCAGGGTGCTGGTTCATTGAAGCATACTCAAAATATCATAAAAATTGATTGTAATCCGAGACAAATACACCATTTATGACTACCTGAAACAAAGTATGAAGATTCGCCCCGGAAAATATCAATGGTCGAATGTCTTCATGTCTAGCCAGTTCCTCCAGACTGTTGATTGGTGAATCAATAATAGTCACAGTAAGATAGGCAGCAAGATTTGCTGTATATGTGGCTGACATCAAAATAGTAAAGATCCACCAGAAACTTAACATAACCCTGCCTGACAAGGATCTAGGCTGCGCGTCTCCTCCTAAAAAAAATAATTCAATTATAGACTTAAGTATTTTACCGTGATAATTTTTAATTGATAACACTACAGTCTGATAGAGCATACAAGAAACGATGCATTGACGAAGTATATGTTTTTTTATATATTTTTGTATTGTCTCTCCATTATGAATTAATGAGCTTTCAAACCATTATTTTCTGAAGAAATGTCTTTTTTTTTCTAGAACTAGGGTTTCTTTTAGCCATATGAAATTCATTTTCTATAATGGTGTTTATTCTGTAGTAACAACATTAACGGTACCAATTATTTGGTTTCCGATGCGAATTCTCTTCAGCGATGCGCGAGGCCAAAACATATGATAACAAAAGTCTAATTAACCAAATTGAAGAGCTTGTTAACCTAAAAGTACACACTCTATAGCCAAAGCTGGTCATGCAATAACAGCTTTGCATGAGGGAGTTATATTCCTTAATTTCAAATAATTTCCAAAATCTTTTCACTAATAAATGTAAATTACACTATACGTATTCTTATTCCGTATGAAACATGATTTGTCTGTAAATTAATTTAATTTTTCATCAAATTGAAGAAAATCATTTTTTTTTCAAAATATGTGCCGCTTTAAACATATTATTAGTTTTGTGTCTTGGGTGACTTTTTACAACCACTGACCAGTGTCACTACTAGTAGGGAAAATTTTGTTCCCTAAAACATCATAAGCCTAGCAAACAGTGCTTTGTGTTGACATGAAATTTCATTGATATGATAACTTTCTATAAATATTCTGTAAGAAAATTTTGAATTGTTAAAGCATAGATGATCGTAGCCGTATATGTAATCCTTTTGGATTTCGGGGCTTTTAATGCTCATCAATTCGTGCTTGACTTTAATTTGTGGACACATTTTATATTCAAGTGCCGCTGATGTGTCTTATGCCTGGCATTACAAGTAATATATACTCCTAGTATCTTTAAAAAGTTTGTTTCAATAGTTTCATGCAAGTGGGCATTCTGTTGGCTGATTGACTGTTATTGCATATTTTTTTTGTGTATTTTTTCGACATATAGTTAAAAAAACTCATCTTAAATGCCAGCCTTATTATTTACGTCTCCATAGGACTCAGCAGCGCAGATTGCATGGAATCAGTTAGAAGAAAAAATCAATTACGAGGAAAAAAATCCTTAAAGAAAGAAAACTTCGAAACGGCACATCTTGCTTATCATATGTATCTTCTTTCACAAATATGTCCATGTATATACTAAATACCTTGTTCTACAAAAGCTCCATATATTAGCCACATAGAACTAGACAATTTTCCTGTCTCTAGATAGTGTTGGTGTTCCTCTATCGCTGTAGAACAAGGACTATATCTGTTGATCACGAACATGAACACGCCAATCACAACTATAGCAACACCAATCAGTATCCAGACAATAACAGACAATGGTTTGAACATTTTGTACTCTTTATTAGCCTCTTCCTGTGGCCTCAGTGTCAGAATACCCACACCCTCTTCCATGTAGGTTTTTGTGAAATCGATCACCGATTCCCTAGCGGCGGTAATTGTGAAAGGACCGGCAGCAAAATCCGCTTCCTACAGAATAATGTTGCAAAGGTAAAGAGTGAAAAAAGTAGAATCAAAGATCACTTGAATGTCGCAATGTAAGATTTCAGAAATATTTGTTTAACTGAATGAAGTGTGATTTCAAACAGGGTATTCAAATACGTTAAATTTTATATTCACAATAGACATTCCACGGTTGAATGAAAATTTGGTGAATTAATGTCAGATTTGATTTGAAAATGCTTATACATTAAAATCAGTATTTGAAATTCTAAGTAATCAATTAAATAGTGTTAAACTATGATTATTTTATTTTGATTAAAAATTTCACGTATACAGTTAAATTCTTAATCATAAAAATATATTTTAAATTCCATTGACTCACTTTACGCATAACCATACCAACCATACCATTCCATGTACCGTCATCTTCTACACTACCATAGGCATTGTCAGCAGGAGACACGATTTCATAACTCAAAATAAAAAAAAAAAAAAAAATGGAATCAGAACAATCTTGACTGAAATCATACACACGAATAGGAAGAACAAATTACCTCTGCTTTGTTTTAACAAGCTGTGTCACTGAGGATCACACCTAATTTCTATGTCATTCTCAAGAGTACGCATGAAATATTTGCAGCACCAATTAATGAATGAATCAATTATTAATCGAAATAACTTTTTTTTCAAATTCTTTATGGATACAAGGTTGTATGGGAAATACGTAACAACCACTCAAAACAAATAGATCTTGAAACGATGTTCCAGAGCTTGATTATCGTGATCTCCTTGATAAGAGCTTGCTTATCGTGATCTCCTTGATAAAGGTTTGATGCTCACAAGGAAGTTATTGAACGAAGTGTTCCAATTTTTCAATTTGAAATCATACCATCGACAAAAAATGTTCGGACGCCATCACGAGTTGGTTGATTGTTATAGAATATCTGTTTCACAGATGATGACAAATATGTAGCAATTGTCGTAACCCCAATCCCAACCTTTTCCAGCTAGAACCGAGTTAGTTTGTTTTTGACTTGTGACTTTTAATATCCCTTTTGTATCGTTTGCCTCTTTTTAGAGTTATATGTTATACAATTCAGTTATAGTTGGGAATCATCCAATAAAGTTGGTTCACATATGTTACTTAAAGCGACATTTTCATTGAAATAAATAAATCAAGTATATAATATACATTTATTTAAAATTTAGAATTATAAGCTTTAAAGCAATTCAATAGTTTTAGTTTTGGACTTTGTTTTTGTCATTTTCTAATTTTCTGTTTGAACAGTGATTAAAGCCATTTTTATATTTATATAACATGTATACTGAATAAAAGAAAAGGATGATTGTGAACCGCTATTTAACTAAATCGAACTACAAATTAAAGCATCATTTTTACTTTCCCTTAAAACAGATTTTTGTTGCAGTGAAAGAAATCACGTAGAATGAAAACGGCTCTACTTACTTAAAATTAAATTTCAGGGCCAGTTGATCAAGAATGTCTATACAAAGCCCACTGTATGTTGTCTTGTTATCTTTATCTGTATTGAAGAAAACCATCGGATCAAGCTGAAATCGTATTGTACGTTAAAGTAAAAACAAATCTGAATACACTATATATGAGAATTCTATAATGTAATAAAACCATACAATACGACAGAGAACTGCATTTGTGACCATCAAATCCCCAATTGACGTCGGCAACTCTTCAACTACAATACTTTTATTCCTGAATTCTCATATTGTATATCTGTAGACAAGTTCTCCTGGAGTACTTAATTGATGACATGAACTAGTTATTTTCTGCAATACCACAAGTATTAACAGGTTGAGTACACCGAGACTGTTTATAGCATCAGACACTTTGTTGGCAATATTTTTTTTTTATAGAGCATTTTCTATGGTCAATATCCCAGAGTCCACAAAGGAGTTTATCCTGAGTATTTGCGCAAGGATAAGTGATTTTTACTGGCAGGTAAACATTCTGGACTTTCAGGTTTTAGTTTTTTCCTATAGATTGTAACGGCAAGATTTGCTAAGGCTTGTAAAGTGCGTGTTATTTTTCTAATTTGTCTGGTTTTTTTTCTATTTGATTTTACTGTATATTGTTACTTTTTATTGAAGCTTTTACAGTATAGATATTTTATAGAAGAAACGCGCGTCTTGCGTACACAATCTAAGCCTTGTATCTATACTGAGTTATTGACACTTCTTTAAGTCTAGAATATAAGTCCACATGAAATAGTTTGCTAGATGATAAAAGGTCAGTAAGCTTGTCTGTAAGTATGCCTACTTTGAAAGAACAATACTTAGTTATTCATTATTATTTCCATTTAAAACAAAAGTCTTGCTTACTTATCTGTTTAACTAGCACATGCCAGTAGGATGAATTATTTACGTCATACCACTACCATATTTTGTTGACCGATAAGAACACCAAAAACTAACCTTAAAATTTGTGTCTGCGTACTTGAAGTGTGATTTAAACCTAGATATGAACATATCATTCACACTTTTATAAAGTTTATTTTGTTTTAGAAATGTGATAGGCGAATATATGTTAAACATTCATACCTACATTGAAATAAGAATCAATTGATGTTCTTCAAACATTACACGATATTTTACAATAGGATAAAAGATCATCTAAGGACAAGATTTTAAATTTTTTTCTATGGTGGACAATAGTTTTATTACTTTTTGCAGAAAATATATAGCCCCTATGTCTTCAACGAGGCTATAGGTTTCACTTTGTAAATACAGCTGTTTCACACACCACGCCTCTTTTGATGAGATATATAATATTCACAGTTGTTTTTCCTCTGTTTACCTACTGGTTTACAGATATGATCTTTATGTTTCATCTCATAGGGACAAAACTTTGGAAATTTACAAGTACAAAAACACATGGATAGCGGCCAAATTGAATTTTGAGGAAGATCCAAGGTGAAGTGAGGGGTAGTACAGAATTTTAGTATAAGTTTAAACACTAAGAAGTTCAAGGCATATTAATTTTGAAAATATGCCGCACAGCCCTATGTTTTGACCTTTGATAAAGATAGTTGTGTATATGAATTTTCCATTCTAGGATATAATTTTCTTCGAAACTTCATAGTAAAAGTGGCACAGTTTTAGCCGTAAAAGAAGTTCCTTTTAAAATACATTGTCTGTATTAACAGAAGTTCAACCTATAGGGATAATATAATAACTACGATGTTAAACAGTCTGATGTTGAAGTACAATCATATTCTATAATGATGTTTGATTGTCACTAATCTGATTATACTATTCAGCAAAAGTTACGATACACGTGTATGATTTTTTTAATCAAATGGTTGTCAGCAAGTGTAAAAATACGAAGGTATGAACTCTAATTCATCATAAATTATAAAAATTTTGATAAGCTGGTAAATTATCAAAGGAAAAGTGCTCATTTACAAATATAGTTCATATGATTTAGAAAATCTTATCAAGCCGGAAAGTAAGAAAATGCCGTGTTATTGAACAAAGAAGTAATATTTGTTTTGGTTATAATGTTGAAGAAAAACATCACCCCTAACTGACGTCGGCACCTCTTCAACTACAATACTGTTATTCCTGAATTTCTCATCCAAATTCAAAGATTCTTTTGTTTTAAATTTAAAGTTCGAGAATCGATTTTAAAATTTGAAAAAGATTTATGAAATAAGAAAAAAAAAACGTTGAAAATGAAACATTTCGCGTTTTTTCTTCTTAAATCAATGGCTCTAAGAACAGAAATAACATCTCGAAAACACAAGTCGAATGAGCAATTTATGTTCTGGGTACCATTTATATAATTCTATATTGTAGGAAAAATCCATTGTATCTTACTTTCATTTACTAGTATATAATTAAAAATCACTTTTTCCCCTGTTTATACACGTACATGAATAAAATGGTTCTATGCTATAAAATTTACTAAATAAGACTTACGGGAACTGCTGCCACTTTTAAAGTACTATTCTTAAAGTCAACAAAGTCATTTCGAAAGAGTTTATTATGCTCTAACGATATTCCTCCCCCTTTTGACCAACTTCCCATGTGTTTCCATTTGTTTATCAAGCCATTGTCGATGCTACAGATTTGATATTTACTGTTTCTAATGTGACCAATCTCCTGCAATAAAAAAAAACACCTGTCTATGTTTTCAGACATATCAATATTTTTTTTTCATATTGATCATATCATGAAAATCAAAGGATATATGATGTAATTGTCAATAATGTTTTTTTTTTTTATTTCTTATGGTTTATGCATTTCGTACAGTTTATTTTGTATCAAACCTGGTAAATCAAATTAATGTTGGGACTCTAAAATGGGATTTTTCATTCCTGTACTAATAATTAAAATATTAAGAAAAATCTTAACACGAGAACTATAGACTATCAATCATGCAGTTAAGTCTAACATTACGGCAAAACAATTTCCATATCAAACTACATTTTATTTTAAAGATATCTACCTTGGTAGTTTCCATGACAACAGTCCTGTTGGGCAGATGTTTGTGTTTGGGGTTAGAGCAAGCGACAGGCTCTAATGACGTAATATTGTACTTTGTTACAACGGATGAAAATATTTCCAACATCTTTGATTTGGCATCTGATAGATAGTTTTTCAACTCCTGAAACAAAACCCTTCTTGAAATAATTACAGAAAATGTCAACTAATTAGTAAACCACTTTTGAATGCACATTTTTTAGATGAAGGAAAAGTAGGAACTATTATTCCTTTTTTAAAATTCTTGATTATGTTTTGTTAACAACTTCTGCCAGTAGTGGCAGTTGATTGCAGTTAGTAGCTTTAATATCTGCTTTTCGTTTATTGCATTGCCATAAATCAGGCCGTTTGAATTGTTTCACATTTTCTCTGTGGTAGTCGGAATATATTTTGTCCCGGCTGATAAGGCTGCTAACAATATCATTATTGTTTGACGTAAATTTTACATTGATGTTCTACAAAAGGAAATCACGAATTTACCAACATTCCAACTGACTCCATTTTCGGAAAATGACATCTGTAACAAATATAAACTTTAAGCTACCTCTTTACAAGCAGAACCAAATACAATGAAAGTTCCAACTATGTACTGGCTTCCGAAGCTGCACAAAACTCCTTACAAATATAGATTTATTTCGTCTTCAAGCCATTGTTCCACTACTAAACTATCTATTCTACTTACTAGTACACTTGGTACAATCAAAAACCTGGTTATAAATTGTTCAAATAAGGCCTTTGAAAATAGTGGAATTAATTACTTTTGGAGTGTCAAAAATTCGTTGGATGTACTTGATAAATTGCATGCTTAAATTGGTGATTTCGAATCTGTTCAAAGTTTTGATTTTTCTACCCTATATACCACGTTGCCGCATAATCTTATTAAGAAAAAATTCACACACCTGATTAAATGGGCATTTAAAAAGTCGGAATGCGAATATATATGTTCAAACTCTTTTAGGTCATTTTTTAGTAACAACAAACAAAAGAACTATGTCAATTGGACCTGCTTTGATACTATAACTGCCCTTGAATTTTTACTAGATAACATTTTTGTTCGCTATGGAGATTCCGTATATCGTCAGGTTATCGGAATTCCCATGGGGACTAACTGTGCACCACTTATTGCGGACCTATTTCTGTATTGTTATGAGTTACAATGTATGACTAAAATCAGCAAAGACCCATCGAAACAACATCTGATTCAAAAAATTAATAACACTTTCAAATATTTAGATGATATATTGGCTCTCAATAATGGCGACTTCAGTATGTACACTAAAGAAATTTATCCTGCCGAACTGACTTTAAATAAAGCTAATACTAACAATGAACACTCCCCTTTCCTGGATCTTGATATCCTTATCTTTGACGGGAAGCTTAATACCAAAATTTATGATAAAAGAGATGATTTTTCATTTCCTATTGTTAACTATCCATTTTTAGATGGTGACGTTCCTTTGTCGCCATCTTATCGTGTTTATATATCCCAAGTTGTTCGATTCGCTCGTGTATGTAACAACGTATTTGATTTCAACGAAAGAAATCTCTGTATTACTGAAAAATTATTACACCAGGGTTTTCGATATCACAAACTAGTAAGAACATTTACTAAATTTTATCATCGGTACAAGAACATCATTCGTAAATATAAATCAACATGCAGACATCTTATACGTTTAGGTATTTCACATCCAATGTTTTATGGTAATATTCTTTACAAAGCACAAAAAGGTCGGCATTCACCTCTAAAGCTAACCAAACCTTTAAACAGACTTATTCGGAAAGGATATAGTTACGATACTGTTGTCAAGTCATTAAGGATTGCATATTTTGGTATTAATATTGATTCACTCATAGAGTCATTGCATCGGAAATAAACTCATTTATTCTAAAACCAGTTGTTGGCATGATACGGGTCATGTTCTTCTCATATTTTATAATGGTATGATACAAAACCCCTTACGAGAGGGATTGTACTTGATTTTCATATGATGAAGACATAATCTTTCAATCAGTTTAATTGAGGTCTGGAACTGGCATGTCAGTAACTGCTAGTAGTCCTTTGTTCATTTATGTATCATTGTCATTTTGCTTAGTTTCTTTTGTTACCTTTTCTGACATCGGACACGGACTTCTTTTAAACTGAGTTTTATTGTGCGTATTGCTGTGTGTTTCTTTATTTTACATTGGATAGAGGTATTAGGGGGGGGGGGGGGGGTTGAGATCTCACAAAACATGTTTAACCCCGCCGCATTTTTGCGCCTGTCCCAAGTCAGGAGCCTCTGGCCTTTGTTAGTCTTGTATGTTTTTTAATTTTAGTTCATTTATATGTTTTGGAGTTAAGTATGACGTCCATTTTCACTGAACTAGTACACAATTTTATTAAGAGGCCAGCTGAGGACCACCTCCGGGTGCGGAATTTTCTCGCTGCGTTGAAGACCCATTGGTGGCCTTCGCCTGTTGTCTACTCTTTGGTCGGGTTATTGTCTCTTTGACATATTCCCCATTTCCATTCTCTTTATGTTGCTCCATTCGTGGTTTTCTGTATGTTTTTTTGTAGAAACCGTTGTTTATTTGTTCTTTTTTTGTTTTAAATTTCAATCATGGTTTAGGAAACCCTAATTATATCTGCATCAATTAAAAGTTTGATATTGGAAGAAGTTCAATAATTACCATTTCTGCAGAAAAGTCATTTCTACATGTTCCGAGATTTGATCCTGCAGATTGTTGTTTCAATAAGATTATGTTACTTCTACTATTATCAACACCATTAAGTTGTACCACTTGTTGATCTGCTGACAATAGAATCCAAGGAAAATATAAAACATCCTCTGTTTTGGCCTTTAAATAAAAAAAACAAAACAAACAAATAAATTACACAAGCGGAACATAGCAATTATATTATTTCAATAGTTTTCAATGTGTTTTACAATCATCAGAATCATGAATCTTTTTTCCAAAAGGTATATTCAAAACAGCGCTCAAGAATTCACGACCATGAAGACAGTAAACGTAATAACACACAGACATATAAAGGTCTACAGACAGTCTCTACAACAGAAGATACCTAACTATGTTAAGCTCGATATCGCCATGAGTCCAACAATGATATGACAAAAACCCTTAAAGATCGACCATTACAACCAAATATTCGAAACAGCCTAAACTTTTAAGATATGACTAATAAAAAACACTGACAATGATTCTGAATTCAATCTTTATATAAAGATAAGGATATGTGATATGATACATCTTTCCCCCAGATACCACAGGACAAGGCTGTGAACAGCTTCGAATCACTTTACAGCCGTCAACACTAACTAAAATACCTATGATTGCTTATTTCTACGTCATCTGCACTCTGGTTGATAGTTGTCTCATTGACAAGCATACCCCATCTTATTTTCATACTGACGCGGTTTTGAGATTAGACGATTACTGAACTTTCGTTATTTTGATGACCTAATATTGACCTCTGTGAATAATTAATACTATTGACGAGAAAGCAACCCAATGATTTGTGTTGACGTCATTGTCAAATTTATCTACACCTTTTTCTTTGACGTATTTGTTAGATTAATTTGTATGTTTGTTTAAACTTTGCAGTCAGTTGTGTTGTATGTTCTGATTGATAGCGTTTGATTTTGTCAGTTTTTGTGGACTCCCCAATTTGAATTTGCCATGAAGTTTGGTATTTTTGTAATACTTTATACAAATAACCAAAGTTATCTAGAGAGCAACAACATATCATCTGGGTATCATTTGTTGTCTCTTTTCTTTGATTTTACTGTTGTGGTGTTACCTTATCAATGTTTATTCCTAACATTTGATATACATCATAATAAACATTTGGATAATGCAACTGTTAATTGCAAATTGATTTTCAAAATGATATTTTACAGTTCATTTTGTATTTATGACTTCCTTTTCAAATGTAACGTATCTAATGTTATTTCACATTTTAATTGATAGTATGAATGTCCCTTTGATATCTTACGCCTATCTTTTAATTGGATATTTCTGTCCATTAAATGTATCATATGTATTCCATATCTAATTTGACAAAAAACATCTAAGGAGATCTTAATAATGTTGTGCGCGATGTTCCTGTTGTGCGCGATGTTCCTGACGCTATTTGAAGTATGATTATGAGATTCGTTTTGCAGTCAGTTGGTGTGCGAAATAATATTGTGTATGTATATTAAATGATCAATTCTATAAATAGGTAACAGCATTACCTATCCATAAATCGATTTCTTTTCAAAATAAAAGCTTATAAATAACGTAAAAAAATACAATGTAAAAGTTACAATATACAGTGTATCTAATCAGAGTTGTTGACAAAAATACAGCATCTACAAAGACATTACCATTCAACATCAAAACCCGGTGAAGACGTTGTTGAAATTACAAAAAAATCCAGAAGCATATTATATTGTTGTTTCAAATTTCATCTTGAACAATAGCCCTGTCTATATCTTTGTGTTATATGTTTCTGTTGTGTGAAATCTATTTTTGAATTTTAAACGTATCATTTAGCATTGCATTACTGTATGGTATTTTTTTAAAAATAAATGTTCACATGTAAAGAATTTTTTTTTAGTTATCAAACTACTTCAACATATTGTAAACATGTATTCCTCTCATTAGATTTAAGAAAAATGTGGCATTTTGTCATGTGTTTTTTTGTCAATGCTTCGCAAATATTAACAATTAATACAAATTATCAATTATGGTAAATCAACCAATATCTTTCAGAAACGATTTTTTTTTTGCAATGTCACTGGTCTTTTTTTTTGTATTTTGTTAAAAGCCCATTTTATAAAAATTCATCAAACATTTGTCAAGATAAAAGGCTTATTATATAGAGATATTTCTTATATAACAAATCGTTCATTCATTTTAAAATTCCTTATTCGTTCATACACTAAAATCAATAATTGGCAACTAAAATTATAGTGATTTTTCTGCTCAAATTGATGAAATATTCTATTTGAAAACATTAACAGAAAAGAAATTATTATTTGCATGTTGAATGAAAATTTAACTGGCAGTAATTTTACTGAATTAATAATCTCCAGGAAGCATTTAAATTATTTTCAGGTAAACCAATCTCCATAATTACAAAATATAACATTTCACTTATGCATTATACAATCCTTCTTCAAATATCATGTCATTATCTCCTTACTTGTAATAAGATATGCTCTAGCTTCTCAGGAGAGATAATCACGAAAACTCCATCTGGTTTGTATTTAAATAAAAACCTTATGTACTGTTCAGGACTTTGGTAATTATCAGTTTTGATCATCCTGGTGGACACTGGTTTCAAAGACAATTGTCTTATTAGATCTGTGAGGCACGCTGAATCTAAAATAGATATATTAGACCCCGATTACACCTGTACGAAATTGAATCGATCTTTTTTTTAATCGATCTTAAAAAGATCAGTTCGCGTTTACATTGCACAAGCAAGATCGATCGAGATCGATCTTATTTAATCCAGTGCGTTTACACTACAACATAAAAAGAACCGGTCTGACCTTATTACCTATATTTCGTAAACAAACAATCCTAAAAATAGAATACTAAAGGAAATTTTGCATCTCGCACACACTGCAAAATGATGTAGAAAATAGTTTGCTCATTGCCGGTGATTTCGTATGGATTTATTAATTATCATTTTGGTTCATACATAACAAGTCATTAAACAAAAATATGTGTGTAGACTATCGCTAAAAACGAACGGTCAATGCGTTTGAAGATGAGGATTTGCAGTAAAGAAATATAACTTATCGATTTAGAAGATAATCCCAAAACAGCGGAATCTATGTTTACTTTTCTTATTCCATCCATCGTTTTGAAACACGTGTATTTTTGCCGCCGAACATGTGCAAATTTATTTTCATATCTAAATATAACATTCACCTGAAAAATAGACCGATCGCGATCGATCTAAGCGTTTACACTAAAAGAAAGATCGATTCAAATAGGATCGATCTTTTTAAAACCACCTCTGGAAGTAAACTTTTTAAGTCCGATTGAAGATCGATCTTTTCCGTTTACACAGACCAAAGATCGAGTAAAGATCGATCTTTTTGCTAGTGTAAACGGGGTCTTACACGATGTCGTAATATTTAGCAATAAAACATTAGAATGAAATGTATGAAAGCATAAACAATGGGAGACTTTTAAAAGATTTATTTGACCCGTTTTACTTTCATTTAAACAGAATAAAGGAACAATTAGTCTTTTAATTTATACTAACCAGTATGTTGGCAAAAGGTAAACATTAATACAATACCCAGCTTTTAGAATTGAAGTAAATTCAGTAATAAAGAAATTCATTAAATGAAATATAACATTTTCAAGAGTAAGATTTTATAACGAAATCACAATTTGGAGGAAAACATTCAGTTATAGTTATGTTATAGTTACAGTATAGTCGCATTGAAAATAATATCTTCTTTAGTGTATTCTCTTTAATATAAAAAAAACCGTTTTCCTTAAATATAAAAAAAACACATTAGCGTGTAGACCTTTTTTGCTTTTTTGCTTGTCAAATAGGCATCGATAACACATGTTGTATCAAAGTTTTAATTGTGTCTGTTTGTGTTTTTTTTTTTATGTTTTGCAAATATTCTATCTATTCCTTTCAAACATAATAAGACAGAAATTAACGATACAAAAGAAATATTCAAAATTATAAGTCGAAAGCGAATATCTATGAAAAAAGCAGAGATAAGAAATACTTAACAAACAGAAATAACCATCTCCATTTAGAAACAATAAAAATTCAAAAACGGAATGCATTTAGTCTCTGCGTGTTTTTTATTTTTAATTCTTGCTGATCATTTTCCATGTTAACTAATTCTAGTATATACGAAAATACATATCAATTCATGAAACAGAAATATGATCCGTTAAAAGAGAGGCGAAATATACCAAAGGGACATTCAAAGTCATAAGTCGAAAATAAACTGACAACGCCATGGCTAAAAAAGAAAAAGACCAACAGACAAACAATAGTACACAAAACACAACATAGAAAACTAATGACTGATCAACACGAACCCCACCAAATCTGGGGGTGATCTCAGGTGCTCCGATTGATATTAGTAGATACCAGGAGGGCATTCAAAAAGCATGTCGACGAAATACAGACAACACCATGAAAAAAAGAATATAGTCGAACAACAGACAACACCATAACCAAAAGAATAATGTCAAATAACAGACAATACCATAACCTAAAAAATAAAGTCGAACAACAGACACAACAACCATCAAAAGAATACCGACAATAAACAAACAACGCCATAACCAAAGAATGACGACGAACAACAGACAACCCCATAACGAACACAAAAAAGAACAACAGACAACACAATAACGAACAGAAAAACGACGAACAGTCAGACCACAATCGACACAAAACACTAATTAGAAAACTGAAGGTTAAGCAGTTCTATCTTATTTCATAGCATGCAGCACACGATGTTCCAAATATTAGGTTACATCCTGAATAATATCATATATTCATGAATACTTTTCTGATGTACTTAGTTCATGTAAAGCATCTCTTGCAATATTGTTGAAGAGCTTGGCTTTTTGTTAGAAAATATAGTACCATATTTTAATGAGATAATGTGAAATAGTACAAGAGCACAATATAGTTCTATTTATCGTTTGTGTTCACAAGCTCTTCCTTAAATCATTACAATATTATAACGGAATCGCGCTGTGAAATGCAATTTTGGTTAGCTGAATAGACAAGGTTTGCATGTTTCGGTCTACAAACAGATAATAAGTTAATTACCTAGGTACTTATAACAAAAATACCGAATAACAAGGAAAATTCAAAACGGAAACACTACAAACCAGTAAAAGTTTGAAATGGCCTATACTTGTACTCGACTGTACTGATTTTTACTCGACCAGTCTGCATTGGTCTGAAATTTACTTGATAGTACTCGACTGTAGTCTGAACCATACTTAACAGTCTGAACTTGTACTCGACCTTTACTCGACCGGTACTTAACCATTTTATTTTCGTCTGAACCATGCTCGACCTAGTCTGAACCATGATCGACCTAGTCCGAACAATAATCGACCTAGTCTGAACCATACTCGACCTAGTCTGAACCATACTCGACTAAGTCTTAACCAACCTAGACCTAATTTTTGTATCTATCTATTGTATTTCATCAATTTAGGAACTGTTTTTAACAGCTATTTCCACTGGCTAGAAATTTGAACAACAATTTGAAATTTAAAATGCATTCAATATGGCATTGAAACCAAAATTTCACAATAAACATAATATAAATTCAACACCATATTTATCAACACTTACATATATATATCACCTTTAAAATAAAAATAAAACAAGCTGATCAAATAATCTCAAAACTGAATTGAGACTTATATTTTCAATGTTATTCAATTTTTTTTTTAATGTTTCAGATATATTTTATGGTTACTAGACAATTTTCACCATTTACTTAAGCCTTGTATAGATTTATGGTGTCATTTGAGATTAGTTAATAATGCAGTGAACATTTATTTTATTAAAATATATTTAAACTAGTATATAAAGCAACTTAATAAATTTTAAAAATCACACCTTTGTTTTGTAAAACCAAGAATTTAATTTAATCATGATAATAGAACCTCCATATCAATCCTTGATAACCATTTAAAAAAGGAATTGTGTTCCAAAGTTGCAGAAAAAATTTATATCAATTAAATTTAAATAACTTTTGTCAAAATTAAAGACATGGCATACAAGAAGCACTTTAATAAGGTTTAATTACCTCAGTACATGTGTGTTTTACAGGTAAAAAAGAAAGCCCTTTTTTCTTAAACTCGTGTATTACTTATCTAGTGAATTCAAAAGGTCTTGTGATTTAAGTTTTACAGGATGTTGCAATTTTTAATGAATGTTAATTAGAAATTAATACTCTCTGACCAGGTGTGATCTTTTTAATGAGTTTGCCCCAAGCAGGAGGTATTACTTTATACTTTACCACTAATCAGAAGAAAAATTTAATCTATTTCTTTAATTGTTTTATCCCTTTTTGATATATATTATATATAATATATCCCAAATTATAATAAGATATATTTCTAATATAGGGTTAAACAATTTCAGTGATTTTGTGGCTGTTGTTACCTCATTAAAAAGATAATAATATAACTATTGTATGTAACCATGAAACCTATATAGTTTTTCTTTAGGAATTTAGGAAAATTATGTTTAAAAAAAAAAAACAACACATGCCAAACAAGAAGCACCTTAATAAGGTTTTATTACCCTCAGTAAAGGTGTGGTTTTTAGTTAAAAGAAAATCTTTTTTTTAACAACACTCTAAAACTTTAAAATTAATATAATCAAATTATTATATAAGATAATTTAATTTAACTATCTCTATTTGATAAATCTGAGAATCATGTAAGGATGTAAAAATATGTTTTTATATATCTCTTTATTTTATTGTGGCTATTGGCATGTCAGAAAAAAAGAAATTAATTTTAACAGCTAAAATTAAAAAAAAGTATAGGTTTTTTGGTCAAGTACAAATGTATGGTTCAGACTGGTCGATTATTGTTCAGACCTTTGGTCGAGTATGGTTTAGACTGAAAAAATTGGTCGAGTACAGGTCGAGAATGGGTTAAGACTGTTTCAGACTGGTCGAGTAATAGTTCAAACTATTTTCAATGGCAAAGATAGGGGTCAAGTACAAATCAGTACGGTCGAGTATGGTTAAGACTGGGGTCGAGTAATGTCGAGTAAATTTCAGACCAATTCAGACTGGTCGAGTAAAAATCAGTACAATAGAGTACAGATATAGGCCATTTCAGACTTTTACTGGTTAGTAGTGAAAGTCCTTTATCAAAAGGCAAAATCTAAAGTTCAAACACATCAAACGAATGGTAAGCAACTGTCATATTCCTGACTTGGTACAGGCATTTCCTATGGCATGGGTCGAAGGTTAGTGAGGTAACAGATAAGTGTTTGAGGCCTTAGTCCTCAATATACATATACCGCTTTAATACCAGGCATGGGGCGAATTACATTGCAATGTAATGCATTATATTACAATTACTTTGACCAAACCATGCATTATATTACAATTACAATTACATGCATTTATCAAAGTAATGCATTATATTACAATTACTTTTGCAAAGTAATGCCTTGAATTACACATTACATTTGAAAATTTTATTAGTGAATAGAAAAATTAAACATTTTGAAAAACAACTACAAGTCACAAAAGATTCTAGCATATGCAGTAACTGTTCCATGAATTGAATATAAATATACATGTAAAAAGTCTATTTAATTTGACTTTTACAATTTTTAATTATTTTAACTTAATGTTGACTTTACTTTTATAAATATATTTTTTGTTGTTTTTCTTTAAATTTTAAACGAAATATTTAATTACTGTGAATTACTTCCCTAATTATAAAATAAACATAGACTTCATTAAAATTAACATATTCTTAATTAATCAAGAAATCTTAAATTTGGTTTAGTTAAAACTCCAACAATATGTTAAAGATGTAGTATGTGAAAAAAGTAATGACATGTAATGCCATGTAATGCATGAAATTACACAACTTTTTGCTAAAGTAATGCATTATATTACAATTACATGTAATGCACAAATTGCTGCATTACACATTACATGCAATTACTTGGAAAAATGTAATGCATTACCATGCATTACAATTACAAATTTGCATTACCCCATGCCTGTTTAATACTCAAGGAACATAAACCATACTTCTATTATGAACTTACTGTAATTATGATCATGATAAAGAAGAACATGGCGCCAAAGCTTATACGCAGCAATGTCAGCTAACAGTGTATTACTGTAAATACAGTCTGGTCGTAGCTGAATCATATAACTGCTAGTCACGTGACAGAAGTCACGAATCACTACAACACCCGGGATGGTACGGAATATCTTCTGCTTGTCTAATACCATGGCTGTCCTACAGTCAACTAAAAGTATTAATCCGTCGACAGACTCGTCCATCAACTCACAAACTATAAATAAATCGGAAAAAAAGAAAAGAAAAACGTCACATTAACCAAATTATACACAATTCACAAAAATATCGGTTTTTGAATCATATTGGCATTGTAATCAAATAAGAATTAAATTTATCATATTATTATCCATATATTTGAAAGATAACACGTGATTCAAAGTGGTGACCGGTGTTCAAACGATATACATAAATTTTAACATTTAAGCTAATGGTCACATTATATTAAATAAATCGGTAGACAATTGTAAAGACATTATATTATTCATAACAAAATAAAATGAAATACAAAGCAGTTTCCATTCTCGTAAAATAGTCTTTCTTTATACAATTATATTGCATGCCCGGTCGTAGAAATATCTGTATGAACGATACATAAAATAAAACGTTGAACCACGATCACTTGAAAATCTAAACTCATGACTTTTCGAATAGGAGAAAAAAACAGTAAACATTAATAGGTTATTCGAATGTTAATTCGAAAAACAAGGTATTTTTTGATAATGGAAATCATTTTCCAATGTCAAGGCATTTGTTTATGATTTTAAAATGAATATAAGAAAATTAATACCTCAAATATCGTTACAATATTTATTATACACTCATTTTCCCTTTCTCAGGGAGATATAAAGCTTTGTTTTCTAAGGGAAACTCATATTTCCACAAGACAAAGGAAAGACAAGATATATTCCACAATATTCTTTAAATACATAAAAAATAGAATATGAAGGTCATATACCCATGAATCTATAATTCGATGGCATACCTGATAGTACGTTTATCATTTATTATTTATGCTCATCGATGATTAATGTGTTGTCTATTCACTCGTTGAACATGTATTCTGTATTCGAATTATTAAGTTATTTTTTAGATACTTTAAAATGATTTTGACATACATTCTAGCAACATATTACTATGGATATAATATCTGAAATGTTTTAAAGATAATCTGTACATGTAATTGTTTATGCACAATTGCTTAGATTCACTTCATTTGAACGTTGGTGGATAGTTGTCTCATTTGCAATCATCTCCTTTTTTTATATTGGTGGATAATTTGTTAAAATTATGCAAACAAATGTACCTTTTGAAGTAGATTCCATTACATCATCGCTAAAATTGGCGTACATAAACTCCAACCTGACAACACTATTGGTTAAAACCTCTGCATATACATCATACCATACTTCATCATCGGTAAAATCGTTGGAAGTTATTGCAGGCCATAATTTATCATGCACTAATACAGCTGTAAAAGATTTAATTAAGCAATAAAAATTAATCTTTTTCATTAATGTCTAATAAAATTGTGTTTTTGTTGACAAAATTAAAATTACTGGCCACCAGAAATACAAAACTATTCAGCACCAAAGTAACCAAAAACAACAGAAAACAAATATATGTTATACTGGAGAACTACAGAAGTATTTTTACCTCTCTGCTGATTAATGTTATTGTTCCATATCAAGGATTTTGTTATAGGTTATCTTGAGTGACATTTCAAAGTTTGTGCCATTTAGGAATTGGTTGTTGATGGCAGATATTAGATATCGTCTGTCATGTGTAAAAATAAGAAACTCAATAAAGATACTAGGCTTATAGGTTTGTACGCCAGACGAGCGTTTCGTCTCTACAAAAGATTCATCAGTAACTCATGATGACCTCATGTATAGATTCCGAAAGGTTTTGCCAAATAAAGCTAAGATTTTTTTGTATCTCTTGTTAACTCTGAAATCAAGATGTCTAAGTTTCGTGTCGTCGGGCTGCTGTCTCATTAACGAATATGCTACATCTCCTTTTATTCATACCAAAAAGAAAGGAATTAAATACACAAAATAAGTAACAACACCATGAAAAAGAAGAAAGCTGATATGTTTTTAAGCAAACAAAACCACAACCAAAGGTAACGAAATGAATGAATATTTAAGTTCACAGAACGGTCGCCCTATAGTAAATGTCCCTGAAATAACACAAAAGTGTATTGTTTAATCCTTTAAAAGTAATATGATATTGAAAAATAAAATGTCACTTGCAATGTCCCTATTATGTTCCCAAAATCTCGCAATTGGCATATTTGAATAAAAATAATCATCTAACACCAAGGAATTCGGGAAAGAGTACAACTAAAATATATACAGCTGTCTTCAAAGAAGGAGGTTTAGTTAGTTTTTTAAAACCAGGTTTAACACATTTTTTCTACGGTAAATGCCTGTACCAAGTTAAGAATGTGACTTGTATGTCTATATGAACAGCGGTATACTACTGTTACTTTATGTATGTTCAAGTCATACCGTTGTGGTTGAAATAGTCAAGCGTTTGAATTTGTCATTTTATATCGACTTCACATTTTGAATAAACATTAAAGTTTAGTATTTTTCTACTATTCTACATCTTGGTATGAATAAATCAGCAAATGATTTGTGTTAGTGCTATTAATATTGATATAAATAAAAAGATGTGGTATGAGTGCCAATGAGACAATTTTCCATCCAAGTCACAATGTGTAAAAAGTAAACAATTATAGGTCAAAGTAGTAATACGCATGTAACATAACTGTACAGTCTTACCTATTTTGAAAGTAGGTAGTAGATCCACCTGGTATAATACCTGTAAGAATATTATAGCAACATAACCACTCCTCGACAGCATGATGAATAAAAGACCACAAATATTCATACACAATTATATTATAAGAAGAATGTTTTTAATGTTTGTATTGCATGTTTGCAGCATGAAAGGGCCTTATTATGCAATTCGTTTCCTGTTTAATTCTAATTAAGTAAATCCTGTTCTCCCAATCGGTTTATGAATTATTGGATAAAAGTTCCTTAATTGTTTTTCGTTTAATCATTTAATTAACTTCAACATTTTGAAATTTCCTGAGCCTATCTGTATGAAACATAATATTATTTTTGTTGTCATGTTCAAGTTAAATGGAATATTTCATATATTTAACTGTTATATTGTCTGTTATAATATCGTAAGTATAAAATGATAAAGGAAATTAAAGCATCCTTTCATTGTTTTAGATCTTGATTAATTTACTTAACAACATCTTATGGCAGTACACACCTGCTCACAAACAAATGCACTCATTTTAGTCTTATAAGATTATATATCAGTTATAAGTAATATGTGACTGTGATCATTAGTACGATTCTTAATTGAATTTAAATTCAGTGTGTGCGTGTAAATAATGAAACCAATTCTCAATTGAAAATCGTCAAATGTATCATTATCAACAATGATTTAGAGGTAGAAGAACGTATTTGATAGTTATCTTTCAATTAAAGTGTGTACAAACGTTTCAATTTAAAAAAAAATTATCTTTTGAAAGCCATACTTCTCACTCAGAAAATTTATACTATTACGTAAAGGTTATCTTACCAATGTTGTAATTAGATCTTTGAATATAGTTTACATTGGCATTAATATCGATTTTGTCATCAGCAAATTAAAACATAACTAAATTTGTATTCTTTTCAAACGGGATGTATAAAGACACACCCACATTCATTTTGATCTATAAAGAGGTTAAACTCCTTACTATCCTACTGCCTGTCAATACATTTTTTTTTGCATTGCACAAGTCATGTCTTCTTTGACTGTCCATGACGTTAAACTACTAAATCCCTGGGATGTGTTTTAGTTGATTTTAGTCTCTGATGCATGATGTTTTTATTATTAATTGTTTTTGGCTTTTTGTTCACTGATGTTAATATGTCCTTTGATTGAGTTAAGCTATTTCAGTTGATATTTTATAGTGTGTCTTTCTATGTTGTGATGTTACACTATTGTTTTAGAAAAAGGGTGAAGGTTTGGTACTATTAAAACGTTTAAACCCGCTGCATTTGTTTGCATCTGTCCTAAGTCAGGAATCTGATGTTCAGTAGTTTTCGTTTGTTGATGTGGTTCATAAGTGTTTCTCGTTTTTTATATAGATTAGACCGTTGGTTTTCCTGTTTGAATGGTTCTACATTAGTAATTTTTGGGGCCCTTTATAGCTTGCTGTTCGGTGTGGGCCAAGGCTACGTGTTGAAGACCGTACTTTGACCTATAATGGTTTACTTTTATAAATTTTGACTAGGATGGAGAGTTGTCTCATTGGCACTCATACCACATCTTCTTATATCTATTAAATTATAAATTTGAAATTGGTCTGTCAGGAGGAGTGATATCTCTCTTTACAAATGGGACATTCTACATTTACGGTTGTATTGTTTTTTGATAATATCCATATAAAAATATTGGTCCTAAGAATGATTTAAAGCATTGAAGAGCCTTGGATGTTGTCTGTACCTGTACACACAATGATTTTAAGAGTAAAATACATGACTACACATGTTTAACTATCCAAGTATCAGCAATTACGGTCCTATTACTTATCGATGCTGGTATTTTATCATTGCACCAGGTCGTGCCTTTCCTGGACTGTTTATCAATGTTTCTGTCTCATTAAAAGATAGGAGAAAGATACCAAAGGGACATTCAACATATACCTTACATCTATTCTAATTAATATCAATCAGATATGAAATTGCTTAGATTCACTTCATTTGAACGTTGGTGGATAGTTGTCTCATTTGCAATCATCTCCCTTTTTTTATATTGGTGGATAATTTGTTAAAATTATGCAAACAAATGTACCTTTTGAAGTAGATTCCATTACATCATCGCTAAAATTGGCGTACATAAACTCCAACATGACAACACTATTGGTTAAAACCTCTGCATATACATCATACCATACTTCATCATCGGTAAAATCGTTGGAAGTTATTGCAGGCCATAATTTATCATGCACTAATACAGCTGTAAAAGATTTAATTAAGCAATAAAAATTAATCTTTTTCATTAATGTCTAATAAAATTGTGTTTTTGTTGACAAAATTAAAATTACCGGCCACCAGAAATACAAAACTATTCAGCACCAAAGTAACCAAAAACAACAGAAAACAAATATATGTTATACTGGAGAACTACAGAAGTATTTTTACCTCTCTGCTGATTAATGTTATTGTTCCATATCAAGGATTTTGTTATAGGTTATCTTGAGTGACATTTCAAAGTTTGTGCCATTTAGGAATTGGTTGTTGATGGCAGATATTAGATATCGTCTGTCATGTGTAAAAATAAGAAACTCAATAAAGATACTAGGCTTATAGGTTTGTACGCCAGACGAGCGTTTCGTCTCTACAAAAGATTCATCAGTAACTCATGAGGACCTCATGTATAGATTCCGAAAGGTTTTGCCAAATAAAGCTAAGATTTTTTTGTATCTCTTGTTAACCCTGAAATCAAGATGTTTAAGTTTCGTGATGTGGTTCATAAGTGTTTCTCGTTTTTTATATAGATTAGACCGTTGGTTTTCCTGTTTGAATGGTTCTACATTAGTAATTTTTGGGGCCCTTTATAGCTTGCTGTTCGGTGTGAGCCAAGGCTACGTGTTGAAGACCGTACTTTGACCTATAATGGTTTACTTTTATAAATTTTGACTAGGATGGAGAGTTGTCTCATTGGCACTCATACCACATCTTCTTATATCTATTAAATTATAAATTTGAAATTGGTCTGTCAGGAGGAGTGATATCTCTCTTTACAAATGGGACATTCTACATTTACGGTTGTATTGTTTTTTGATAATATCCATATAAAAATATTGGTCCTAAGAATGATTTAAAGCATTGAAGAGCCTTGGATGTTGTCTGTACCTGTACACACAATGATTTTAAGAGTAAAATACATGACTACACATGTTTAACTATCCAAGTATCAGCAATTACGGTCCTATTACTTATCGATGCTGGTATTTTATCATTGCACCAGGTCGTGCCTTTCCTGGACTGTTTATCAATGTTTCTGTCTCATTAAAAGATAGGAGAAAGATACCAAAGGGACATTCAACATATACCTTACATCTATTCTAATTAATATCAATCAGATATGAAATTGCTCGTTAAAATGCATTAAATGCTAGAAATGTATAAAGGAATATAGACTTTAAATGAGGATAGGTAAAGAACGTAACCCTTGAAACGAAATAAAAGAAAAATTAACAGATAAAAGACTCAAGTGGCCAGGTTGTGCAGAATGTGTCTTAAATAATGGAGAATGTTCCATTCTGAACATTATAGATGAGTTGATTATACAAAACGTATACCCTCTGTCATAAAGTTGCTAAAAAATACTAAGTTCCAAAGTCAGAAAAAATGAGAAAAAAATCCCCAAACTAGTATATAATAGCAGGTGCTCAACTTCAGTATATTTGTAATAAGACTGTGCAGTTTCAACGATATGGGTTGAAAACTGTAGGAGGTGTGGATTACAAAAATTGTGCCACTTTTCAAATGCCTCTAAACCGAACGCCAACCTGCTCGACCACCTGCTCGCCCACCCAACAATACGAAACAATAATTAGGTTTTGGACTTTGTGTAACGCGGTCAAAAAATGCAAGTACTAGATAATGAAAAAGTTAAATTATACAGTATCAAAGAATGCTCGCAGTAACTGAAAGCAAGCTCCAATTACTTTACCGGCTGATATGGAATTAACCGATCTAAACAGTAGTATCGCTTGCTGTAAGTCATGGTATCTATATAAGATTTCATAAAATAACGTCATTAACAGAATAGAACAAAAGTGGCCAGAATAAAGTTTACATTCGATTTTTTTTTATTTAGTATAATATGCACTTTTCGACATGGGTTTTATTCTTCCCTTAAGTATAATTTATAGTTTGTGTTATTTTCTTATTATTTGTTGTTTTACTTGCTTCCGGTTAATATTAATTAAACACTAAAAATAACCTTTATGACGAAGGATATGTCTCAATCGTCGGAACCACAATCCCGTCCTCTTTTTCCCCCGAATGTGACGTACAGAATAAGACTGATCACCGACTTTGTACTTACATGAGCAATATGATAGGTGTCACATGTGGCGCAGGATCTGCCTACCCTTTCGAGGCACCTGAGATCACCACCGGTTTCAATAGACTTCGTGTTGCTCATCAGTCTTAGTTTTCTATGTTGTGTTCTGTATACTTTTGTCAGTCTTTTGGTCTTGTCCTTTTTTTACCATGACATTGTCAGTTTATTTTCGACTTAGAAGTTTGAATGTCTCTTTGGTATCTTTTGCCTCCCTTTGTAAATTTAGTGCGTCCGACGCGTTTTCTTGACCTAACTTCATCTGGACACTCAAACCCCCACAAATTGAAGGTCAATGAAACATCAATACTTGATGAACTATATGTTATTTTTATATATGACCAAAAGGTATGTAAATGTACCTAAACATATGTTCAGCTCTCTCTCTATATATATAACTGTCAATAACACTAATGAATTTAAACATTTTGACAAATACCTACAGCGATAAAAGCAATATGAGTAATACACCGACAGATTTAAACATTGCTTCTGGTAAGACTATCTTACTACTGAATATCAACACATTTTACTGACTATGATTCATTACATTACAGTTCTAAACTTCATCTGTTTAGCTAACATTTGCAAAACATTTTGTGACATACTTTTATATTACTTTATACCTTTCTAAAATAAGACCAAAACTAATACCAGGCAAACAGCATCAATCAAATACAAATCTGCAGTTTTAATTTTCATTTGATACTTTTATTTTCTTATCAATTACGTATGACCTACATATGTTCAAAAAAGAGTATATTTACATTAAAGAATTTAATAAAGTTGATACAATCAAACGAAGGAAAACTAAAAATGCATGTGTATTCTGATTGACATAACAATGATTTCCTAAATGTTGACCTGTTTTTCAGAAAAAAAAGAGACGGCAGATATCGGTAAATGATTGAAATGTTATTACAAATCAAGTAAGTTATACCTTTGTTGTAATTGGCAAATCCTTATGGAAATGTTGGCACTAAATACAACTTCGTACTTTTTTTGGCATTTTAACTTTGATTGATTGTTGGTTGGTTAACTTACAGTGACAAATATTGCATGCCTGTTCAGGACGAGAGAAAAAAACAATAAATACAATAGGTAGGTCCTATAATAGAGGCTCTAGAGGCCGTCTGAGATGAAGATCGGCGAAATTTGGACTGCTACTGGAAAATGAGAGTATGTAAGACAGAGACAACAATTTTACCTTGCAACATGCCATCTAAGGACCGCTCAAATAGTTGTTGCAAGTGAAGAAAGCTTGGCATTAACTCAACACGAAGCATCGGGTTTAACGTCCACATTCTGACCGGACGTGGTTGCGTACTTGCATATTCCACACAGCAAAACGTTAGTTGACTGATCAAGATTAAAATGTTGAGAGTAACACATGTTGAAATAGCGCTTAACTTCGCTTGTACCATGTCTTGAGGCTCTTCAGTTGATACCTTATGTAGTATTTTATTATAATTGTTTATAAGGCAGCAACCCAACGAAAAACAAATTATGAGGGGGAACAATTTACAACAATAATTGGATATCAATTCAATATGTTAAGCTCTATCCAAGTACATACAATGCAAGTAGTTAATATACAAGTAATAGCTTTTCTAAAAAGCTTATCGTTTTTGAGTTAATATATTGAAAATTGTGTTTTGTTTTTGTATTGTTTTTTGTTTGCTTTGTAGTTTTATTCATTCAGAATATTGATCTGCATATAAATTTTAATGGGATGAATTAAAGTGGAAAAGATGAAAGGCCAACACACTATTTTAACGGTCACAAATTTTCTTTTTGTGAACCTCTGGTAAAAGCTTAATTTCTAAACCACTTGCTTTTTTGCCTGTCCTTTTTCAGTATTTTTTTTTAAGAATCAGTTTTTTAGCAGACATGTCCTTTTACTATTTGTTTGACAAAAGGGTGATCAATATCTATCATTATTTGTTCCGATTAACCAATTCAAAAACGTTTTAGATCCCAATCATTTTTTATCATACCGGAACTAATTGTCCCTATATCCTACTTACGCAGGTTCCAGTAGTGTATAAGGGTAAATGTGCATAGTTTCTAAGGAAAAACAGGTTTTAGGAGTAAATCGGTTATATCGGTTCTGAAAAAAAGTCGATAAATTGGAATGTTATGAAGTAAAGGAAATAGATGTGTGACTAAATACTTGAATTACAAATTGTGTCAACAGGTCAAATTAATACGAAAGTCCCGTTTGAGAGTACTCTAATTTACCGAAAGCTAGTTAAAAGCCAAATATGTTTTCATGAACGTGACATCTGTACGTGGCTCTGTACAATAACGACAGTGTGTTTCTTGATATAAAGTAACTTAGATAAATCACTACGTGTGCATTTTAAAAAAACAAAATCGCTGATGGTTTGTCAAATGTGTAATACTATTATCCTGTATAACAATATGAATGAGTGATATAACTGTACATGTATTGATGCTTTGTATTGATTGATTGTTGGTTGCTTAACGTCCAGTGGCAAATCATGATGCTTTGTAACTCAGAAACGGATCAAAATACACCAACAAGTTAATTATGACCACGAAAGTTAAAGAAATATTTATATCTGATGCAAACACAATTGAATAATAAAGAAAGAACAAAACTCAAACAATTTGATTTACTTTTGGGTTTGATGTTGCGTCATTAAAAGATCGATTCAACACTTCACTATCAACTTGATTGAACACTTGACTGTCATTTTCATGACCTGCTATCACGATTTTTTTCCCGTCTTTACTTTCGGATAAGCTCGCATATAATAGATGAAACCCCAACATAACCCAATCAGACTTTAAGAAAGCCTTTATTTCATACGGAATTCAGCTATTATTTACCGATGAAAATTCCTTAAATGATTTACCCCATTGTGACGTGAAGCTTATGACTATTTAGACTGGGTCTCATGGGAACCGGTCATTTCACAGAAACTATGCTAGGTCAGCAAGTCAAATTATAAAGTAGTGTTAATATGCACGAGCATATATATAACACATTAATTTAGACATATGAACGCCTTACGATTTGACAGAGGGTATTTCAAAGCTCAGAACCATGAAATTCTTTACAAAAGTTAAAATCATCATTATTTTTCTATTCGAGTTTAAACTTTTTGTTTAAGTTGTGACCTTTGAAACACGTCTGACTATAGTTTGCCTAAAATGAGCTTAAGAGATTGCATACTGAACTTTTTATATACTAAACAGTTTACTACGTTTACATGTCTTATTTACCATCATTGTATCTGAAGCTTATACAATTTTTTAAAACAAATATCAAACAAATGAAACTTTAATTTGCCTACAAATAAATATTATTTATAACTGAAACTGTTTTATTCTGATTATTATTTATTTTTGTTGAGGTTATATGAAAAGCATGGAAACGAGAATAATTTTTGGATGATTTATATATCATTAACACGCGATTTGAATTTATATTAACCTACTTCAAATATCAATTGAAATAATTAATTCAAAATACCGTTAGCTATGTTAATGTATATATGTAGTTCATTAATCTTCTTTACAGCCTTGCCAGATCAGACTTTACATTACTGTATATAAGCAGAACGAAAAACCATAAAAAACAAAACAAAAAATAAAACACGAGATATAAACGTAAGTAAACTTTAAAGGATATGTTTTGTAAATCATTTTTTAGGTAATTTAGCTATTTAGACCTGATGAAAAAATATAAGAATGCAAAGTCTTAAAAATCGTATATGTTTTGTGAGACGTAGGAAAAACATTTTTTGTTTACAAAAATGCTTTAGCTTTAATTTTGAGCCTGTGTAGTGGGTATAAGGAAAAACCGACTTCAATAAAATGTTTCTCATTACTATTTGAATATAGTCCATTGCAAGTGAGACCTCAGGCGTTCCGGACTGGTAAGAAGATTCTATTCCACTATATCTAGTGATGTAGCTGCATATTCAATCCTTCAAAATAGCGACATTTGTTCCTCAATTGTTAAATAATTCCTTAAGAAAGAACTAACTTAAACAGTTTCCTTTAATTTGTAAAGGCAATTGTACAAACGAAAATATCTGTTTAGTTACCTATTATTAGTTTTCAAAAGTGTCACTAATATATCTGTTGACTCTTAATTGGCGACAAAGCTTTAAGTAAAAGAACAGTTCGTATTGTTTCCGTTTTAAATGGTCTATCGTGAATTTCAAACGCATAATAGATCACAAAATAAACATCATAAATTATACTGTATGGTATCTTAATAAGCTACATTTTGTTATATTTGATACCAAAAATTTGAAAGTACATTTTGTATTGATAGTTATAATATAAAAGGCAGAAAAAACGCAATCTATATCATATCCCAGTAAAAAAAACTAACAAACTCGGCGGCAATGATGATCAACATGATCACAATAATCCTAATCAAATCAATACACTGATTAAAAGTTCAATAGAATATTTTACGATTAATCATTAAATTAACACAAAAACTCATAAATGATACCAAGCTTATTATTTTGTAAGCAACACTCGCGTTTCGTCTGCATTATACTATCAGTGGCGCTCGAATCAAAAACTGTTGGAAGACAAAAATCTATTTTGAAGTTATAGAGCATTAAAACAGTAAATTGTGAAAAATTGTGTCAATCTCAGGTACGACAATCTATACTTAGGGGTAGACAAACTTGTGTCAATCTCAGGTACGACAACCTATACTTAAGGGTAGACACACTTGTGTCAATCTCAGGTACGACAATCTTTACTTAGGGGTACACAAACTTGTGTCAATCTCAGGTACGACAATCTATACTTAGGGGTAGACAAACTTGTGTCAATCTCAGGTACGACAATCTATACTTAGGGGTAGACAAACTTGTGTCAATCTCAGGTACGACAATCTATACTAAGGGGTAGACAAACTTGTGTCAATATCAGGTACGACAATCTATACTTAGGGGTAGACAAACTTGTGTCAATCTCAGGTACGACAATCTATACTTAGGGGAACACATACTTGTGTCAATCTCAGGTACGACAATCTATACTTAGGGGTAGACAAACTTGTGTCAATCTCAGGTACGACAATCTATACTTAGGGGTAGACAAACTTGTGTCAATCTCAGGTACGACAATCTATACTTAGGGGTAGACAAACTTGTGTCAATCTCAGGTACGACAATCTATACTAAGGGGTAGACAAACTTGTGTCAATCTCAGGTACGACAAACTTTGGTTAGGGGTACACAAACTTGTGTCAATCTCAGGTACGACAATATTTACTTAGGGGTAGACAAACATGTGTCAATCTCAGGTACGACAATCTATACTTAGGGGTAGACAAACTTGTGTCACTCTCAGGTACGACAATCTATACTAAGGGGTAGACAAACTTGTGTCAATATCAGGTACGACAATCTATACTTAGGGGTAGACAAACTTGTGTCAATCTCAAGTACGACAATCTATACTTAGGGGTACAAAAACTTGTGTCAATCTCAGATACGACAATCTATACTTAGGGGTAGACAAACTTGTGTCAATCTCAGGTACGACAATCTATACTTAGGGGTAGACAAACTTGTGTCAATCTCAGGTACGACAATATTTACTTAGGGATAGACAAACTTGTGTCAATCTCAGGTACGACAATCTATACTTAGGGGTAGTCAAACTTGTGTCAATCTCAGGTATGACAATCTATACTAAGGGGTAGACAAACTTGTGTCAATATCAGGTACGACAATCTATACTTAGGGGTAGACAAACTTGTGTCAATCTCAGGTACGACAATCTATACTTAGGGGTAGACAAACTTGTGTCAATCTCAGGTACGACAATCTATACTAAGGGGTAGACAAACTTGTGTCAATCTCAGGTACGACAAACTTTGGTTAGGGGTACACAAACTTGTGTCAATCTCAGGTACGACAATATTTACTTAGGGGTAGACAAACATGTGTCAATCTCAGGTACGACAATCTATACTTAGGGGTAGACAAACTTGTGTCACTCTCAGGTACGACAATCTATACTAAGGGGTAGACAAACTTGTGTCAATATCAGGTACGACAATCTATACTTAGGGGTAGACAAACTTGTGTCAATCTCAAGTACGACAATCTATACTTAGGGGTACAAAAACTTGTGTCAATCTCAGATACGACAATCTATACTTAGGGGTAGACAAACTTGTGTCAATCTCAGGTACGACAATCTATACTTAGGGGTAGACAAACTTGTGTCAATCTCAGGTACGACAATATTTACTTAGGGATAGACAAACTTGTGTCAATCTCAGGTACGACAATCTATACTTAGGGGTAGTCAAACTTGTGTCAATCTCAGGTATGACAATCTATACTAAGGGGTAGACAAACTTGTGTCAATATCAGGTACGACAATCTATACTTAGGGGTAGACAAACTTGTGTCAATCTCAGGTACGACAATCTATACTTAGGGGTACAAAAACTTGTGTCAATCTCAGGTACGACAATCTATACTTAGGGGTACAAAAACTTGTGTCAATCTCAGGTACGACAATCTATACTTAGGGGTAGACAAACTTGTGTCAATCTCAGGTACGACAATCTATACTAAGGGGTAGACAAACTTGTGTCAATATCAGGTACGACAATCTATACTTAGGGGTAGACAAACTTGTGTCAATCTCAGGTACGACAATCTATACTAAGGGGTAGACAAACTTCTTTCAATATCAGGTACGACAATCTATACTTAGGGGTAGACAAACTTGTGTCAATCTCAGGTACGACAATCTATACTTAGGGGTACAAAAACTTGTGTCAATCTCAGATACGACAATCTATACTTAGGGGTAGACAAACTTGTGTCAATCTCAGGTACGACAATCTATACTTAGGGGTAGACAAACTTGTGTCAATCTCAGGTACGACAATCTATACTAAGGGGTAGACAAACTTGTGTCAATATCAGGTACGACAATCTATACTTAGGGGTAGACAAACTTGTGTCAATCTCAGGTACGACAATCTATACTTAGGGGTAGACAAACTTGTGTCAATCTCAGGTACGACAATCTATACTAAGGGGTAGACAAACTTGTGTCAATATCAGGTACGACAATCTATACTTAGGGGTAGACAAACTTGTGTCAATCTCAGGTACGACAATCTATACTTAGGGGTAGACAAACTTGTGTCAATCTCAGGTACGACAATCTATACTAAGGGGTAGACAAACTTGTGTCAATATCAGGTACGACAATCTATACTTAGGGGTACACAAACTTGTGTCAATCTCAGGTACGACAATATATACTTAGGGGTAGACAAACTTGTGTCAATCTCAGGTACGACAATCTTTGGTTAGGGGTACACAAACTTGTGTCAATCTCAGGTACGACAATATTTACTTAGGGGTAGACAAACTTGTGTCAATCTCAGGTACGACAATCTATACTAAGGGGTAGACAAACTTGTGTCAATATCAGGTACGACAATCTATACTTAGGGGTAGACAAACTTGTGTCAATCTCAGGTACGACAATCTATACTTAGGGGTAGACAAAAACTTGTGTCAATCTCAGATACGACAATCTATACTTAGGGGTAGACAAACTTGTGTCAATCTCAGGTACGACAATCTTTACTTAGGGGTACACAAACTTGGGTCAACCTCAGGTACGACAATCTATACTTAGGGGTACACAAACTTGTGTCAATCTCAGGTACGACAATCAATACTTAGGGTTACACAAACTTGTATCAATCTCAGGTACGACAATTTATACTTAGGGGTAGACAAACTTGTGTCAATCGCAGGTACGACAATCTATACGTAGGGGTAGTCAAACTTGTGTCAATATCAGATACGACAATCTTTACTTAGGGGTACACAAACTTGGGTCAATCTCAGGTACGACAATCTATACTTAGGGGTACACAAACTTGTGTCAATCTCAGGTACGACAATCAATACTTAGGGTTACACAAACTTGTATCAATCTCAGGTACGACAATTTATACTTAGGGGTAGACAAACGTGTGTCAATCTCAGGTACGACAATATATACTTAGGGGTAGACAAACTTGTGTCAATCGCAGGTACGACAATCTATACGTAGGGGTAGACAAACTTGTGTCAATATCAGGTACGACAATCTTTACTTAGGGGTAGACAAACTTGTGTCAATCTCAGGTACGACAATCTATACTTAGGGGTAGACAAACTTTAAGGTTTCGAATAAATAAACATCGTATAAAAAGCTCATTTACAGAAAGTAAACATATCTATGATAACCAGGTAAAAAAACTGTAGGGTCTTGACTACTGGGCTGGTGACACAACTTTAAATACTTTGTGTTCGCAAGTAGCTCAACGCAAATTATAACGATTAATTATTGTGTTGTTCAGTCAGTAAAAAAATATTTATAAGATTAAAGAATACGTTATTGTAATTTGTTAAGAATACTAATAAAATATCCAATGTTTACGAACTACAGTTTTTAATAAGCAGCTCAGGGTTAACAAAACAAAAGAAATTACAGAAAAATAAAGATATCTGTAACTGATAATAACTTAAACTTTGTACGGTTTACTGGCGATTAACGAGACTTTACTTGACCACGATAAGAAACGGAATATATTTGGAAAACCAAAGATGCGTTAATACCGTGATTTAAACATTTATCATCTTAAATACGTGTTATAGACTAGTGGTCTTTTTATTTGTCTTTGTATATTATTAACCTTTACTATTTAGTCCATTTTTGGTTATATACTTTTGGCGTTGCTCGGTATTTATACATCCCGCCATTGTGTTTTTTGCTATGATCAATTTTGTTGTCTTATCTTTCATTTTTGCTCATGTTCTTTGTCTGTGGAGAGTCTATGTGCCGTTTTGTTTTTTTTTTATGTTGAATATTTATTTGTTTTTGTGGTGATTGAGATTGTGACGCAATGTTCACTGATGTTCCCCAGTTTTTCGTGTTTTTGCCTATTGTGTCTGTTTGTTTTGCTCGCACGTTGTTGTCAATGTAATATAATTCTATGTGGCTGTTGTGTGAGTGTAGTGCCAGGTTTGGTCCGCCGTTTTCTGCATAAGGAGATGCCTGTACCGAGTCAAGAATATGGTAGTTGTTTTCCATTCGTTTGATGTGTTTGAGCTTTTGATTTTGCCATTTGATAAAGGACTTTCGGTTTTGAATTTTTCGTTGGACTTCGGTATTTTCTGTTATTTTACTTTTTTTATAGTCGAACTATATTATATTGCTTGTGTGTAAAACAGATAAAGGTAAACCCAATACTAAAGTTTTGTTAACAATTTAATGCTTACATTTTTTAGCGTTGAACATTATGTTTAGACCTACTAGTTTACACGTGTACCTTCTTGTCATACTAGTAAGCTACCACTCAGCTAATTCTGCTAGGTGCACAGGGCATGCAACATGTAAATATGTTGACGAAAAAATGGAAGAATTGAAAAACAATCTAGGTAAGTAACACTTTTGTTGAAATGTAGGAAATACTTAGAGAACTGCATATAACCGATACACATACTCTTTATCCAAAACAAGCTGCTAAAAAAGGGTAAAGATACAAAGGCTAACGGTAAAAAATATTATTAAAATATACCTGGCTTATACTTTTGTACGCCAGAAACGCTTTTTTGTCTGCAATAGACCTACCAGTGACGCTCAAATCAAACAAAGTTAAAAGGCAAAATAAAGTACAAAGTTGAGGGTATTCAGGATCCAAAATTCTTAAAGGTTTTGCCGAATACAGCTAAGGTAGCATAATAATTCGAGGTTTTGTAAACAGTTAATATATAAATATGACCATATTAATGTAAGTAAGTTTTCAAAATGTACTTCTTGACAAAGTTATAACGCTTTCTGGATATTATTAGACAGTGGTTTGTTTTTCTGAATGACGTGTACTTCATAAATCCTTATATTAACAACTGTTTTGATAGAATAAATAGAATATGCGATCATACGGTAACATATCATGTTTGGTTTGACAGTTGTGTTATAATTAGACAAGCCGAATTTTATTCAATATAAAAACTGTACTCCAAGACAAACCGTTATGTTCGCCTTATTCTATAAGCAAAAACCTAAAGCATTTGTAAAAAAGTAAATTAAGTAATTGCTAATCGAGTTAAACATATCCAGATTGTGGCAAAATATGTAAGATACATGTTGATGTTCATTTGACAAATTTTCAATAATAAATGTGAACTCAATCATTTACACCAAAAGCGCTTTAAAAACTTTTCGTCTTTTGTAAAGCAAATTTGAACTTATAGGTTGCACTTTGTAAATACAGCTGTTTCTCAAACCACGCCTCTTTTGGGGAGATATTTAATATTCATAGGTATGTTAATTTGTTAACGTACTGGTTCCCATTGATGATCTCTGTGTTTCAACTCATAGAGACATCACTTGGGAATGTAACCAGTATAGAAAAACATGGTAGCGGCTAAATTTTAATTCTTAGGAGGTCCAAAAATGGAGGTAAGGGTAGTATAGAATTTTAGTATAAGTTTAAACTCTTAGAAGTTCAGGGCATATAAATGTTGAAAATATGCCGCACAGCCCTATATTTTGACCTTTGAATAAAATAGTAGTGCATATAAACTTTCCGTTCTGGGATATTATTTTTCACGAAACTTCATAGTAAAAGTGTCACAGTTTTAGCCGCAAAGGGAGTTCCTATGGGAAATTGCATTGTCTGTATTTACAGAATTGCAACCTATATAGGGTTAAAAAATAGAACTTACAGAATTTCACAAAATCTGGTTTATCTCAGAGATTTTAAAGAATTTAACTCAAATATGAAGTTTTATAAATATTTCATGAAGATTGAGAAAATCCTGGGCCATAACTATGATGACTCAGCATAAATTCACAGTTTACAGTATGCATGGTTTACTTAAAGCCCTGAATTCAAAATAAATTCATAATATATGCCTATATGTAATTTAAATTGTTTAGAAGTGCTTATATTTACTCTTCGCAGTAATTGCAACTCATTGATCCTTCCTAAATATTTCTGGTGGGGTGTTTTGTCCTGTCGATAACCAAAAAGTAAGCCGTAACGCCTAAATGTGCTTTTTTTGTGACTTCGGCATAAAAAAGTACAAGCTAGAATTACAAAAAGACCTCAGTAAAACTTACAATAGTGTGTTCTATCCTAAATATGTAGTAAATATTCCACATTGCTAGAAACAGGGAAAAAAATTAGGAAATGTGAGGCCCCAGGGGCAAACACAGAGAAAAATGCCTACCCCTGAGTCATAAAACAGATAATTTAACTTGTAAATGCTATGATTTTTTTATTTTAAAGGTCTTTTATAAAGTTAACAATAACTGTGCTAGGAAGTTATGCAAAAATCAGATGTAAGCAGTCATTTCAATCAAACTTTTAGTGAATTTATGCACCAGACTGATATCTTCATAAATACAACTTTTGCAAATATGGCTTTGTTTAAACACTTCTAGGACATATATTAACTAACTTATGTTAGATATATGGTTAGGGATGATACTGTTGTGACAAGAATTCTAAACTGACCATTTGAGGCAGAAATTGTGAACTTTCATTGACAAATAGGCATACAGTAAGATGTGGACTGGAGACACAGGCAGGATTGGATACTTTGTATAATCTTGAATGTTGGAATGCTTAACTTCTAAACAATACATTTATAGTATTCTAAAATGCTTTCAATTTGTTATCAGAATAGTTTCAAACAGGTTTTAGACAGTTCATGCCAGAAAACATGCACATAGGGTAAGCTGGCAATAATTAGAGTCTTGTTTTCAAAATCTTTAAAAAATTGAAACAGGGGTAGGGGTATAAAATGTACTGTAAAAGGAGACTTAGAGTATATGCAGTGATTTCTTTAAGGCTATAATTCTGATAAATAAGTACTGTTGTGAGAAAAAGTGTTTTTAGAGAGTTTTCTATTTGAATAAATGTTTGTATATAGGGTTAAAAAATAGAACATACAGAATTTCACAAAATCTGGTTTATCTCAGAGATTTTAAAGAATTTAACTCAAATATGAAGTTTTATAAATATTTCATGAAGATTGAGAAAATCCTGGGCCTTAACTATGATGACTCAGCATAAATTCACAGTTTACAGTATGCATGGTTTACTTAAAGCCCTGAATTCAAAATAAATTCATAATATATGCCTATATGTAATTTAAATTGTTTAGAAGTGCTTATATTTACTCTTCGCAGTAATTGCAACTCATTGATCCTTCCTAAATATTTCTGGTGGGGTGTTTTGTCCTGTCGATAACCAAAAAGTAAGCCGTAACGCCTAAATGTGCTTTTTTTGTGACTGCGGCATAAAAAAGTACAAGCTAGAATTACAAAAAGACCTCAGTAAAACTTACAATAGTGTGTTCTATCCTAAATATGTAGTAAATATTCCACATTGCTAGAAACAGGGAAAAAAATTAGGAAATGTGAGGCCCCAGGGGCAAACACAGAGAAAAATGCCTACCCCTGAGTCATAAAACAGATAATTTAACTTGTAAATGCTATGATTTTTTTATTTTAAAGGTCTTTTATAAAGTTAACAATAACTGTGCTAGGAAGTTATGCAAAAATCAGATGTAAGCAGTCATTTCAATCAAACTTTTAGTGAATTTATGCACCAGACTGATATCTTCATAAATACAACTTTTGCAAATATGGCTTTGTTTAAACACTTCTAGGACATATATTAACTAACTTATGTTAGATATATGGTTAGGGATGATACTGTTGTGACAAGAATTCTAAACTGACCATTTGAGGCAGAAATTGTGAACTTTCATTGACAAATAGGCATACAGTAAGATGTGGACTGGAGACACAGGCAGGATTGGATACTTTGTATAATCTTGAATGTTGGAATGCTTAACTTCTAAACAATACATTTATAGTATTCTAAAATGCTTTCAATTTGTTATCAGAATAGTTTCAAACAGGTTTTAGACAGTTCATGCCAGAAAACATGCACATAGGGTAAGCTGGCAATAATTAGAGTCTTGTTTTCAAAATCTTTAAAAAATTGAAACAGGGGTAGGGGTATAAAATGTACTGTAAAAGGAGACTTAGAGTATATGCAGTGATTTCTTTAAGGCTATAATTCTGATAAATAAGTACTGTTGTGAGAAAAAGTGTTTTTAGAGAGTTTTCTATTTGAATAAATGTTTGTATATAGGGTTAAAAAATAGAACATACAGAATTTCACAAAATCTGGTTTATCTCAGAGATTTTAAAGAATTTAACTCAAATATGAAGTTTTATAAATATTTCATGAAGATTGAGAAAATCCTGGGCCTTAACTATGATGACTCAGCATAAATTCACAGTTTACAGTATGCATGGTTTACTTAAAGCCCTGAATTCAAAATAAATTCATAATATATGCCTATATGTAATTTAAATTGTTTAGAAGTGCTTATATTTACTCTTCGCAGTAATTGCAACTCATTGATCCTTCCTAAATATTTCTGGTGGGGTGTTTTGTCCTGTCGATAACCAAAAAGTAAGCCGTAACGCCTAAATGTGCTTTTTTTGTGACTGCGGCATAAAAAAGTACAAGCTAGAATTACAAAAAGACCTCAGTAAAACTTACAATAGTGTGTTCTATCCTAAATATGTAGTAAATATTCCACATTGCTAGAAACAGGGAAAAAAATTAGGAAATGTGAGGCCCCAGGGGCAAACACAGAGAAAAATGCCTACCCCTGAGTCATAAAACAGATAATTTAACTTGTAAATGCTATGATTTTTTTATTTTAAAGGTCTTTTATAAAGTTAACAATAACTGTGCTAGGAAGTTATGCAAAAATCAGATGTAAGCAGTCATTTCAATCAAACTTTTAGTGAATTTATGCACCAGACTGATATCTTCATAAATACAACTTTTGCAAATATGGCTTTGTTTAAACACTTCTAGGACATATATTAACTAACTTATGTTAGATATATGGTTAGGGATGATACTGTTGTGACAAGAATTCTAAACTGACCATTTGAGGCAGAAATTGTGAACTTTCATTGACAAATAGGCATACAGTAAGATGTGGACTGGAGACACAGGCAGGATTGGATACTTTGTATAATCTTGAATGTTGGAATGCTTAACTTCTAAACAATACATTTATAGTATTCTAAAATGCTTTCAATTTGTTATCAGAATAGTTTCAAACAGGTTTTAGACAGTTCATGCCAGAAAACATGCACATAGGGTAAGCTGGCAATAATTAGAGTCTTGTTTTCAAAATCTTTAAAAAATTGAAACAGGGGTAGGGGTATAAAATGTACTGTAAAAGGAGACTTAGAGTATATGCAGTGATTTCTTTAAGGCTATAATTCTGATACATAAGTACTGTTGTGAGAAAAAGTGTTTTTAGAGAGTTTTCTATTTGATTAAATGTTTGTATAGGTTGCACTTTGTAAATACAGCTGTTTCTCAAACCACGCCTCTTTTGGGGAGATATTTAATATTCATAGGTATGTTAATTTGTTAACGTACTGGTTCCCATTGATGATCTCTGTGTTTCATCTCATAGAGACATCACTTGGGAATGTAACCAGTATAGAAAAACATGGTAGCGGCTAAATTTTAATTCTTAGGAGGTCCAAAAATGGAGGTAAGGGTAGTATAGAATTTTAGTATAAGTTTAAACTGTTAGAAGTTCAGGGCATATAAATGTTGAAAATATGCCGCACAGCCCTATATTTTGACCTTTGAATAAAATAGTAGTGCATATAAACTTTCCGTTCTGGGATATTATTTTTCACGAAACTTCATAGTAAAAGTGTCACAGTTTTAGCCGCAAAGGGAGTTCCTATGGGAAATTGCATTGTTTGTATTTACAGAATTGCAACCTTATATGGATGACCTTCAGTTGTTAACTTCTAAATCATTTGGTATCTGGTGGATAGCTGTACCATTTGAGGTCATACAACTCCACATCTTCTTATTTTTATATTGGTTATTATTTTAGGTGTTATTTTATCATTTAACTCTTCAACTGTTTCGGTTCTTAAACATCATTGGCTTTCCAATATTCGGCTTTGAACGTTTCTGATGAACGTAAATCCAGAAAAGCGCTTCGGATGTATTAAATTTATAAATTGTTGTTCGTTGTGTCCTGATGTTCCTTTACAATGGTATTGCAATACTAATATCTAAAATATAAACAAATAAATATATAGAATTTTAAATTGGGGTATTTGATATATAAATCGATGTGCTCATTGCATATACTATTTTGCTTCAGGATATGTTGGTTGTTTCATTGATGATAGGAACAGACTTTTCGACACAAGGAAACCTAACAGCGCAAATATGAGTCTTAGAAAATGTCGGGAGCAGTGTCGCAACTACATATATGTAGGACTACAGGTTAGTAATGTCAGGAGCGGTGTCGGGGCTACATATATGTAGGACTACAGGCTAGTAATGTCGGGAGCAGTGTCGGGGCTACATATATGTAGGACTACAGGTTAGTAATGTCGGGAGCAGTATCGGGGCTACATATATGTAGGACTACAGGTTAGTTATGTCGGGAGCAGTGTCGCGGCTACATATATGTAGGAATACAGGTTAGTTATGTCGGGAGCAGTGTCGCGGCTACATATATGTAGGAATACAGGTTAGTTATGTCGGGAGCAGTGTCGGGGCTACATATATGTAGGACTACAGGCTAGTAATGTCGGGAGCAGTGTCGGAGCTACATATATACAGGACTACAGGTTAGTAATAGAATTGATAGCAATAAAGACATTGCTACCTGCAGGCAATTTATAATATAGTGGGGCGAGATTAAATGCTTCTTTTAAATTATTTATCCTTAATTTATTTCGTAATTAACTAACTCGGATTCGTGTGAGTAAAAGTAGGTCAGCAAAATAAGGACCACAATTAGTTCCCATAAGGACCAAAACAATATTTTTAAAGTTTTGACCAAGGAAAACAACAGAGATACCTCTTAGATACTTTAATATGTTGGTGTTATAAGGTTTGGAATCAGTTTTATTCTGATGTATGCCGAATGTATATTTAGATATTATTAGTTACATAGTGTGCTAGTGACCTAATACGATATATATGGGGTCAGTAAATTCCATATGGGGTGAAAGCGAAGCTCGAATCCCCATATCGAATTTACTGACCCCATACATATAGTATTAGGTCACTAGCACACTGTGTAACAAATTTATCTTACCGACTATCTGAACATGTGGTATTTAAATTAGACTAGTGGCCTATTAAAGTGATTAAGTCTTCAATACTTAGTATTGAAAACCTACTTCCATTTGTCTATACAAATTAAGTCTTCAATACTTAGTATTAAGAGCTTACTTCCACTTGTCTATACAAAAACAAATGCCAACAATAACAACTTGTTAACTTTAAATGTGTTTTGTGAATTTATTTTAATCGTTCATCATCAATTTCTTCGTCTGTTGAAACCTTTCAGATTTCTCCTCAACACCGTGTTGTTTTTATAAAGGGACGTAACACCACTACTAACCGTGTATTGAAATAAACCCCGCCTACTAACCTAATATGAAATATACACGGTCTCCACGCGGTTGCTTTTAACCAATCATATTCCTAAAAATGTATAGGAGGTAAGATAAAATTATATACTAAAACAACTTTTAAAAATATTGAAATATATTTATCTTTACTTTTACATATTTTGTTGACCTTTGTTGTCTTTTGCAACTGTATATGTTACGGACTGGTCTGATGTATTCAATGTGTCTTTCGAAGAAGCGACACAAACGACGTTTTATTGTATTTTTTTGTCCAATACATTGTTGACATCTATCATTACGAACAATTTATTTCCAAACTTTGGTATAAAAATAGTTGTAAAAAAGGGATAACAAAATGTTTTCGTACGTGTGTTATACGTCGTTCCTAAATACCAATACATACCGTATTAAAAAAACCCATTCAGGTATGTAAGAGATGTCTAGAGGGAGGTGTTACTTACAATGGTATAAAAACTACTTAGACAGGACACACAAACTACACTGCTTATTTTGGGTTCCAGGACAACATATTCATCATTTAAAAAACAAAGATAATATGCCCTTTAATGGACTATATATGTTAACGATGTAACTGTATTAATATATCATCCATACATTAATGGAAAAACAATGTAAGTTCTTTTCCAAAAACGGAAAAGGTGCAGAACAGTCTCATTGGTAAAAAAAAAAAACATTTCACAAACAATTACTCTTAACAAAGGTAACATAAAACACTACGGGTCTCGTTTGTTTCTTTTGCACGGTTGATTACGTATAACATGAACAGTACCAATTGTACTACCCCAAGTGCACCTTTCGACAAATAATATCTGTACAGCAATGCTCGAGGCAAACCTTATTGATTACTCAACACCTTATACATAATTTTCCAATCTGATATAACAGAACAGTAGTCAAACCATAGTTAAATATAAGCAACATTAGTTTACAAATGTTCAAATCTCTTTAATCTATGAAGGAAACAAAAAATGAGGGATTCGCATGAACGCCATAAAAACGAAAAACGAAACCTACAGGGTAAGCGTGTTATACTATTAATGATTAAATGGACCATGAATCATTGCTATGTATGGGAGTGATATATTTTTTTTATTTCATTTAATATATATGTAGGACTCTAAAGTGCGATGGTACTCTAAAGTGCGATGGTCACGCTAAAGTTCGATGGTCTACGCTAAAGTGCGATGGTGTCAGACGCTAAAGTGCGATGGTTGTTTGTTTTTTTAAGTGCGATCAGATGACACGCTAAAGTGCGATGGTATACATGACACGCTAAAGTGCGTTGGTTTAACACGCTTTTAAATTGCGATGGTGTAACGAGAATGGGGTTCATGCAATGGTTTTTGTTTTTTGCTATGTGCATATTAGTTTTTCGTCTATTGTATTGTTTATAAATCATGCTGTTGTCTTTCTCTTTTGAATTGTTTTACATTAGTCGTTTCGTGGTCCTATATAGCTTCTATGCGATGTAAGCCAAGCCTCCACGTTGAAGTTCATAATGTTGCTAAGTGCATATGGTCTTTAGTGGATAGTTGTTTCGTTGACAATTACACCACAACTTCTTATTTGTTTTTTATTTATTGTTTTATATATCTTTCACAGACATGACGAACCATATTGTAAAAAATTGTTTTATAAAATAAGTCAATTAGAAAATTAAAATGTAGCTTTTATTTCACGCAAGTAAATGACATGGGATTAAAAATATAGAAGGAGTTTCTAAATTAAATTTGGACGAATTAAATACTTTGACTACTGGTGTATGTTGCCGTTTTCGCTCTCTTTTACGGTATACACCTTCCCCTTACTATCGTCAGTCTCTAAGTTTATGAGAAGTATTCTTTTCCAGCATCCTGTCAGAAACACGTGTGTCCCCGCCGACACAGCGGGATCAAAGGTTTGCATTGTTGTTACTGTCGATGATTTTTTGGGAAATAACTCCTCCGCATACAAACTTTTCTAGCACCAACCAAAATTAGAATCATTTGTTTCTCTTTTCGTGTCTAATGAAAAAACTTCATCAGCACAAACATTCTCGTTTACCCATGTCCATTTTTGTTTGTACAAACGGCGTATATCGTCATAATGCTATTTATGGTTGCAAACGTCCATACTTTCGCGAACAAACGTATTTCCGCGGAAAAACGTACTTTAGCGTATCGCAGCATCGGACTTTAGCGTGTTCCATTAAATATCACATACCATCGCACTTTAGCGTATCAAACCATCGCACTTTAGTATGGGCCATCGCACTTTAGCGTGACCATCGCGTTTTAGCGTCCCCATCGCACTTTAGAGTCCTACATATATACCGTCGATTCATTTATTTTCGTGGGTTCCAATTTTTGTGGATTGAGGAAAACTAGCATTTTCGTGGCTATTTAATTTCGTTGTTTTGGCAAAGTCTGCATACATTCCTTTAAAAAACTTGTGATTCGTTGAACATTTAAATTCGTGGTTCCACTGTACCCACGAAATCGACGAAAATTGGTATCCAACGAATATTAATGAATCCACAGTATATTAAAGTTATACGACTGCAAATATTCAATAAAACAGTATCCACATGTTCACGGTTATACCAAAGTAATGAGATACTGGGCTAGAGATAGCCACGGGGACAAACAGTCGGTATGGGTTTTACTCATTGTTGAAGGCCGTACGGTGAGCTTCAGTTGTTAATTTGTGTCAATTAGTCTCTTGTGAAGAGTTGTCTCATTGGAAATCATACCACATCTTCTTATTTTTATATCAACAGCAGAAGTGTTTTTCAGTTTTTTAGTTTCAACTTCAACATTTGTTCAAGTCTCTGCTAAAAATTGGCATTTAAGGTATCAATTTTACTGCACCAGATGCGCATTTGGACAACAAACGTGTCTTCAGTGATGCTGGAGGCGATTTTTTTTAATTTCCAAAACGTAGTAAAAATATTTTATCCAGAAAAAAAGCAAAGTTCAGTACTGACATGAATAACTTATTAGCAATAAAAGTGCTGTTTTTTTTCTTTGGCCTTTGTCATGTATGTGTAGAAATTTTGTGTCATATAATATACACCATTTTGTTTGATAAAAAAGTAAATCATTTTTTTCTGTTTGCCTATAATCATCATTGTTCATATGATTCAGTATTTACTAAACATATTTTCCCTTCTCTAACATATTCTTAATAGATTTTGATTATCGGTTTCGGTAAATATTTTATATTTTGTGTTATCAAGTTTTACTTATATGTTTGTCAATGTGAATATGTTACCCATTAAAGATACATCATTTTATTTTATTTTTCATACTTATAGTATGTATTTTTTTCTACAAAAGGGATACTTAAATGATATAACTTGTTTTTGATGGCTAGTTTTAGTTACAATTCATCAGAACTATTTTTTTTCAAAATTGTTAATTAAAAGTTTATTTATTGATGTGTTGATTGAAATTCAAATATGAATCTTATAACGTGAAAATAATTTTTACTGAACTTATCAAGATCATGAATGTATAATTTCCTGTGTCGTTGAATGACCATTTACCTGTGCTTTTCTATCAAACAGAAATGATTATAAATTGGCCACGAATCTGTGCTTTAGTATAATCATAGTCTAAACTTTTAAAACAAATCTTTTAAATAGAATGGTAAAGAATGTTTCTGTGGCAACGCACTGAATGTTAACAAGTATCCACCAAAACAAGAATCGCAATGCCAACATAAATGTTCAGGAGAACGTAACAGAATGTGTGGAGGCCATTGGAAGATGTCTATTTATACAGGTATTCACCTTTTTATCAAAATGATTTGTATTGTGTTGTGTTCATCTGTGTGCGTTAAATAACGGGAAAAATTCAAGCAGCATATCATGTTTAGGATGGTTGCTAACGCAAACTTTCAAAATATAAAGATAAAGCCTCAAAAGACCAAGTAGATTCCAAGGAGCAATAAAAACCATCAGTCGAAAAAAAACATTATGGCAAGGAAGAAATCAACAAGCAACACTCGTCAAACACACAACGCAAAACATTAAAGATCGGGCAGGATGAACTTCACCACAAACTGAGGATAAAACTAGGTGCTCTGAAAGATTAACAGTTTATGTTCAAATAGTGACGCTCGCCGTATTACTTCTGTTCAAATAATTTGATGAATTAAGGCGACAATAGTTTACCGATGTTAAAATCTCGTAAATAGATTAGGAAAAGATAAATCAAGGAAAAAAACTAAAACTGAGAGATTCGCAACTCCAATGGAAGCCAGACCGGGTGCGCCGAAAGGGTAAGTGTCTCATGATACGCATGCACCACACAATGAGTCATATCAGGTGATTCGCACTATTCAATAGCGGATTTGGGAATCCCTCTTGTTTCCCTCTGAAATAACCACATTAAAAAATTAAGTTAACAATAGATAATCGATGGTCAAATCACATAAAGCGATTGAAAGAACAAATCAATGTTACAAACAAAACTGAGGGAATCGTTTGAAATCAAAACGGAGCGAATCCGGGTGCGTGAACGCGATAAGCGTATCTTGCGTAGCATTAATACATGTAAATTATCTTATTTAAAAACTTGACTGAATCTAAACATTTGAAAGGAAAACTCTGTCTATCAGGATAAAACAATCCGCGACAATCTGTGTCTCGACTGTAATTGCTGTTGTCAGTGTTAAGTTATTATGTTGACTGGACTGTAAAAAGGGCGCCCTTTTAATCAGAAAATTACAGCTTTTTTAAATCAAATTTTCTAGATCATCTTAAATTCTATTTCTTGATCTTGAAGATAAACCTCTGTCCAAGTTTCATAACAATCCATGAAGATTTTACAAATGTATCATGTAAAAAAAATATCAGACTGTCTGTAAATGTTAGATGCATAAAAACTAAGTTCATTTATCAGTAAAATACTGAATCACAAAAACGTTTTTTTTCATCTTTTTTTCTTCACACATTATTTCTTAATCATGAAAAAGTTCTGCGAAAGTTTCATTAAATCATATGCAGGTTTGACAAAGTAACTGATGAACTTTAACACCATACTCTAGTATTTACATCTAAACATAAACAAGTCCTTGGATCAGTAAAATACGGAAAAATTTAAAAACAAATCATTATTTTGCTCTGGATACTTTTGATCACAATTTATTTTTACTTTACATTCAATAAGGTTTTCACAAAGTTATTGATGACTTTAACCTTAAACTTCATCTTAATAATCTCATCATAGATCTCAGGATTAAAATTTTGAACGCCAGACGCGCGTTTCGTTTACAAAAGACTCATCAGAAACGCTGGAATAAAAAAAGTTAAAAAGGCCAAATAAAGTACGAATTAGAAAATGTTAACTGTAAAAAAAACTAAGTTCATTTATCAAGAAAATAACGGAAAACTGAAAACAAAAAATATTTTCAAGAATGTATGCGGCTACTGTCTTGGTCATAGGAAAACTTCTGTCCAAATTTTCTCAAATTCCATCAACGATCGACAAAGTTATTGATGGCTTAAAACATCTTTAACCACTGACTGAACCTAAATATTGACGACCCCGACGACGACAAAAACAACGGCATGTAGGATCGATATGTTTCGCTCCCGCTTCCGCTTCGGCTCGACACTGCAAAAATAGACAAGACTGTCACTACAGAAACAAATTAGACATTGAAAAAAATATGTAATATCACGAAAAGAACACTGAAAACTAAAGCAATAACAACAGGTACCCCTTTAAAACAAAATATTTTATCACCCAATATCGGGCTTTTCCAAATAATGTTTCCAGAGCAACACATATGCTATAATTATTGGTAGGTATGACACATTCCCTATTGAACTGCAAATATTATATAAAATGACAGTTAGCATTTATTAATGAGCAAAACTACGTTGCATTGTCATTTACTACACAGCAATACATCTCTTTTTATTTTATCCTATAGATGGCAATTTATGTATCACGTTTTGGTACTATATCCTACTATTTATTATTTCAGTTAATGTTTGAAATATAAAGAAACAGCCTGCCGTTCAAGATCTGTATATGCTGCACCTGTTGAATTACTTTTATTGTAAATGCAAAACTTATTAAAACAAGACATCATTTAAAGTTGATTTATTGTAAAAGTTTATCTTGGAACAGAAAAGAACTTTTTTATTTCAAATTTACAAGTTTGTTCACTCCTAAACTATCGTTATATTGGACACTTAACACTGATGATTCATTGTACAACACCAATAAAGACCATTTTATTTAAACTTTATGTTTTCAAGAAAAGAACACATATTATAAAGTAAGGATATGTAATAGGATTGCCAATGAGACAACTATCCACCAGAGTCCACATGACGTAGATGTAAGCAACCATCATGACCATAGGTCACCGTACGGCCTTCAACATTGATCAAATTCCACACCGTATAGTCACCTTTAAAAGGCTTCGACATGACATCGTATGGTAGATGTATGACTCAGACTTGCTACTATAACTGCAAATAAGCATTTTAATTTTGAATATTAATAAAAACAGATGCAACCGACTATTTAATCACAAATTGTATTGGTAAATTCTTTTTGTATTTTCATGATGTCTCATGGAGAATCAACATTTCGAGATTATTTTCTACGTTAAATTCAAAATTCTAGTTTATCATCTACATAATTATAAATAAGACTAATTAATCATACCATGGTAAATTCAAAAAGGAAATTCGATAAAAAATGACATTAGACGTAATCAACCAACGGAACTAATGGAAAACAACTGTCATATTCCTGACTTGGTATAGCAATTTACCGAAGAAAATAGTGAGTTAAATAAAATTGTGAGCAACCCAATCAACCATAATAAGTTAATGGGACAAAAACTGCAGTAGATGCTCATAATTGATTTGCTTGATCTTTGGTGTTTGTTACCTATTTTACTGTTTTTCATAAGGTGAAGAGCGTTCTTGTACTAATCTAACATTGTACTAAACATTGACAAACATACATCGTTCAATTCAGTAGCACATTTGAAAACACATTGATGTATTGAATAACTAATGCCAGCTGCGTATTAACAAACGTCCTGGTCAAAATAATCATTTGTACAGAATATACGAATCGTCGGATCTTTAAATTTGTGTTTTATAATCCTTTTCGTAACTCATATACAAACATGCTTTTATGATTTTTCGTTTGAATCAATGGAAAATTACAAAACATGAACCTCCAATGCACACTAATCAATGTACACTCAAAATTAATGTTTGATCTTGGGTGTTGTATTTGCAAAAACCGAAAAAAAAACATCGATGTTTGTATTATCTAATTGAGGACTCCTCTAGCACCAGGATTACTATATACATATAAAAGTAAGAGATGTGATGTTTGCCAATGAGACAAATATTCATCAAAAATCTGAATAACAAGGATGAAAACTACGAAGGGTCACCGTATGGCAAACAGCAATGAGCAAAACCCATATAGTATAATAACATGCCCTAGGATAACAAATCAAGAATCAATATAACAGAGAAAACTAACAGACCGATGTAAGCTTATAATATTAGAGAAACTCCAAAATGACAGCATGTAACTAACGACAACCACTGCACTTATTTCTCCTGGCTTGATTTAATTACTAACTTACTGCTCTGGACGCCATTGGCTTGAGATATGATTAAAAAAAGTTAATGAGTAAATATATAATAAGGAGATGTGGTATGATTGCAAAATAAATACATATTCACCAGAGGACCAAAGGACAATAATTGTAACATGTTTGTAGGCGCTCAACCCTCCTTCAAACTAGGAGAGAAATGAATTGGTCCAACTGTTTCATAAAAAAGAATGACCAACGTAGATATAAATATTTTGTTTTAGAGAGGGATAAATCATTCTTTGTAAAAAACACTCTGATTCAAACAACAAATTCTTTAAAACAAACTGACATTGTAAAGATGCTTGATTTCTAGATAGAATATATATTTGTTACATTTTGAGAACGTGTTTTCAACGAACAATCAGCATTTATGGTAATCAACTTTTTTCCTCTCCATGCCGATTTGTTCCATTTATTCATATGAGACAGACCCAACTGGGACGTATCACCGAATTTGTACTTGCCATGAGAAGCACGATGGATGCCACGGTGGAGCAGGATCCGCTTAGACTTCCGGAGAATGTGAGATCGCCCGCAGTTGTTTTTGGTGAGGTTTATGTTGATCAATTTTAGTTTTCTGTGTAGTGTTTTAAGGAATGTTGTATTTTCGTCGTTTTTATTTTTGGCCATGGTATTGTCAGTTTTTCATGGACTCTTAAATTTTTATTATCCCTTTTGTAACTTCACCTCATTTTTTTTGGTAAAAGTACAACGTAAGAACAAACTGCAGTAATTAGAAAGGGTTTTAATAATCAGATCAGTATTAAGCATAATATACAACTTATTGGACTAATAATTCTCATCTTGCACCACCGCATGGTAGCTATATATATAGACAAAAGGAACACTTCTAGATTCCAGAATCGGGAACTAGGATACCCAATAGTTTTAAGGACAAATTGATAGAACAGGTATGATATCTAGTCCTTCCTGCAGCTCGGTGAATGTGGTGAGTCTTTCAACTCTGCTCCTCTACGTAGACGTATGGTCATCGTTATAATACATTACCTACTCTTCATGATATTTCCATTAATGATCTTCTGTAATTTATACAGAATCCGTTGGGTTTTCATCATATTTGCCCGACGCTTTGTTCACTACCTCTTTCGAAACTTCATTTTCATAAAAT